ATCTGAAGGGCTTAAGGGTTTGGGCTCCTGTTCCTAAATGGCCGGACCACTTTGACCTTGTTTAGGTAACAAAATGGTGGCCGAATAGGCTGCCTAAGAGTAGCAGACCCACACCAGCCTTGCTCCATGAAGCTTTCTACGATCCCCTCCCCATTTTAGAGGTTGCCCTTTGTGTCTCACCTCACCTATGTGACAAAGGTGACCTGGTAAACCCACCTGTACACGGGTCCATCCTCTGGGGCTGTGGGCTCCCTGTAGGCAAGGTTCCTTTTGTTAATAAGCCATGCACAGAGAGGAGATGCATGGATGTTTGCTGAAGAAATGAATCAATGAAGGAGATGAGTGTGTTTATGTGTGTGAGAACTGCCCTCCTCCTCAGGTGTACCTGGCCTTGGGGCTGAGCCACTCAGAGATCGATGAGTACTTCACTGGTCCTGCCTTCCTAGCTTGGGGGCGCATGGGCAATCTGCACACCTGGGGTGGCCCCCTGCCCAACTCCTGGCACCTCAAGGAGCTTTATCTGCAGGTAAAAGGATGGGGAAGGACAGGGGCAGAATTGGAGGTGGCAATCACAGGTCCAGGGAGGGGGAGGGGTTGGCCCACCTGGGGCTCTCAACTCACTCTGTGCCGTGGGGAGACAGGGGCTCCTGCCGCAGAGGCCATGCTCACCAGCTCCCTGTCCCCGGTCCCTTTCCTCCCAGCACCGGATCCTGGACCGGATGCGCTCATTCGGCATGATCCCAGTGCTGCCTGCCTTCGCAGGGCATGTCCCCAGGGCGCTCACCAGGTGAGGTCCCACTCTCACCCCCACTCAGCTGGACAGGATTTAAAGGAAAACTGCAGCTCTCGATGCAGGCCTAGGCTTGATTCCTGGTTCTACCTAATAGCCATGTGACCTTGGGGAGATTATGTGACTGCTCTGTGCCTCAGTTTCCTCCCTTGTAAAATATGTATGGCTTGGTTAGCACAGAGTCTTAGCAAGTGGTAGTTTTATGAGTTCACTATTGTTCCTGATCCTCTGTGCTAAGACCTCCCCTCCTTCAAGAAGCCTTTTTCAGGGGTAGGGATGCAGTGTTGGTCACCACCCATCTCATACCTGAGAGCACCTGCTTCCCACCACTCTCTCACTGCTGGCCTCACTAGCCATCCCTTCCCTCCCCAATGGATGGCAGGAGCCTCATTCATTCCGTCAGTGAACGTTTGTGTGGCTCTGTGCTAGGCCCCCGGGAGGCAGGGGCAAGGGCCTGGGAGATGGCGGGAATATTTGTGGGCCCACTTCTCAGGCAGGGTGACTTCTGCCTGGGGAAGAGAGGCAGCAAGGGCTCAGGGCAGAGGCAGTGCTGAGCCAGGTCTTGAAAAATAAGCATCGTTCATATCAGCCAGTGAGGGGGTAGGAGGGAACTAGCAAAAGCTTCTGGAGGTGAAACTTCAAGGGTATGGGGGGTAACCAGGGGCATAAGCAGGGAGTGAGAGGAAAGGCCACCAGGTGCGGGGACATGGCATAGGCAAAGGTGCGGTGGCATGAGAGACCAGGTGGCTTCCAAGGACCGCAGATTAGTCAGGAGGCTGGCAGTGTACACGTGTCAGCCTCCGGAATATGTGCGCCCCGTCTCCCCTCCCTACTAGGGTGTTCCCTCGGATCAATGTCACCCAGATGGGCAGTTGGGGACACTTCAACTGCTCCTACTCCTGCTCCTTTCTCCTGGCTCCGCAAGACCCCCTATTCCCCATCATCGGGAGCCTCTTCCTGAGGGAGCTGACCAAAGAATTTGGCACAGATCACATCTACGGGGCTGACACTTTCAACGAGATGCAGCCCCCCTCCTCGGAGCCTTCCTACCTGGCTGCAGCCACTGCTGCTGTCTACCAGGCCATGACTGCAGGTTTGGTGCCGTGGGGAAGTGGGGAAAGGGTCTCCCCTCAATAGATGGGGGTGGTAAAGGTCAGGAGGGGTGGGAAGAGTGCTGGAGTCATAACAACTCACTGTGATCCACAGCACTTCCGGCTTACCAAGCAGGTGTCCACACAAGCCACTCATTTAATCCCTGTGGTTGGGTGGTGAGCTCTGGACCTGGACAACCTGCTTGGTCCCCGGCATTGCTCCTTCTGCCTGTGCAACCTTCAGGAGTTCCCTCCCTCCCGGTGTCTCAGTTGCTTCACCTGTAAAATGGGGCTGCCTTCTAGGGAGGAAGATGCCCAGCCCAGGGTACAGTGTCACTAAGTGCTGGCTCTTGAAAATGTCTTCTTCCGCCTCTTGCTACCTCCATGCTGTGGTAGGTGGTACAGGCCAGAGGTTACGGGATGTGCCCAACGCCATGGTACCCTTGCTGGCACATAATTGTGACCACAGGGTTCTTTCCTGCCACTCACTCGCAGGGGAGGGGTGGCAAGGGGCCAGTCAGGGACAGCTTGGCAGGGAGGCCTCTGTGTCAGTAGGAAAGGAACAGATTGGCTCAGGCTTCCTTGAGCAGCATTGCTCCAGGTGTGACTAACAGCAGCCCCTCTGCCTGTCCCTGCCCCCCAAGGCTATCAGCTCTGCAAATTCTCAGTCCCCACCTAGATCTCCTGAATCAGAATGACCGGAATGACTAGGTCCCAGGAATCCACAGAATTCCTGGAATCCATGTTTCAGCTTGCCCTCTGGATCATTTCTGATGTTCCCAAAAGTTTGACAGCACCCTCCTGGGACTCCCCGTGTGACAATAGGCAGGGTGTGTGCCCTGGAATGTCCTGCTGGCTGGGGGTTGCGAGGGAAGCAGCGTCATGTGGTAGTCTCTGAAATTGCCTGGACCTCTGTTTCTTCATCTGTAGAAGGGGGTGAACGTTCCCCGGGCCTCACCTCTCACCTCCCCACTTCTGTCTCTCCTGCCCCTGCCTCAACCACAGTGGATCCTGACGCTGTGTGGCTGCTCCAAGGCTGGCTTTTCCAGAATCAGCCCCAGTTCTGGGGGCCTGCCCAGGTGGGAGCTGTGCTGGGGGCTGTACCCCGTGGCCGCCTCCTGGTCCTGGACCTCTTTGCTGAGAGCCAGCCTGTGTACATCCACACAGCCTCCTTCCAGGGCCAGCCCTTCATCTGGTGCATGCTGCATAACTTCGGAGGCAACCACGGCCTGTTTGGGACCCTGGAGACCGTGAACCAAGGTCCTGCAGCTGCCCGCCTCTTTCCCAATTCCACCATAGTAGGCACCGGCATGGCCCCTGAAGGCATTGAGCAGAACGAAGTGGTCTATGCCCTCATGGCTGAGCTGGGCTGGCGGAAGGACCCTGTGAAAGATTTGGAGGCCTGGGTAACCAGCTTTGCCACCCGGAGGTACGGGGTCTCCCACGGGGACGCAGAAGCAGCGTGGAGACTACTTCTCAGGAGTGTCTACAACTGTTCAGGTGAGGCCTGCAGGGGGCACAATCGCAGCCCGCTGGTCAGGCGGCCCTCCCTACAGATGGTTACCACCGTCTGGTACAACCGATCGGATGTGTTTGAGGCCTGGCGGCTGCTGCTAAAAGCCACTCCCACCCTCGCCACCAGCCCGACCTTCCGCTATGATCTGCTGGACGTGACCCGCCAGGCGGTCCAGGACCTGGTCAGCATGTACTATGAGGCAGTGAGGACTGCCTACCTGCAAAAGGATCTGGTTTCCCTCTTGAGGGTGGGAGGCATCTTGGTCTACGAGCTTCTGCCTTCACTGGACAAGGTTCTGGCTAGCGACAGCCGCTTCCTGCTGGGCAGCTGGTTGGAGAAGGCCCGGATGGTAGCGGTCAGTGAGACTGAGGCCCGTATCTATGAGCAGAATAGCCGCTACCAGATCACCCTGTGGGGGCCAGTGGGCAACATCCTAGACTATGCCAACAAACAGCTGGCCGGACTGGTGGCCGATTACTACACCCCCCGCTGGCGGCTCTTCATGGATACCTTGGTGGAGAGCCTGGACCAAGGCATCCCCTTCCGACAGCACCAGTTTGACCAAAAAGCCTTGGAGCTGGAGCAGGCCTTTGTCCTTGGCACACAGAGGTATCCCAGCCAGCCCCAAGGTGACACCGTGGAACTGGTGAAAGAGCTCTTCCTCAAATATTACCCCCAGTGGGCGGTTGGTTCCTATGACAGAGTAATGAATCCTAGGCCAAACTCCAGACCCAGGCAGGTTCCTGGGCAAATGTCACAAGAGGTTGCTAGGCCTGGGTGAAGGAACTAAGACCTGCTGGTGGGATTAAGCACGGGCAGCAGCCCTCCACACCCTGAATGTGAGATCACAGTAGTGCTTTAATTCAACTTAATAAACTGATCAATCATTGGGCCTGTCTGTGAGAATGTCACTACCACGAAAACTGGGAGGACTCTGGGCTTAACATGGACACTGCTATTGGCTGCTTCTCCCTGCCTCCTTGCTCCATTCTCCACATTTTTCAATCCTAACTTCTGGACTTTAAACTGATAATCCCCTCCCAAAACTGCTATCCTCAGTGGCAGTTGAGGGCTATATCCCCATGAAACAGAAACATGCCCCCGGGGGGATGTGCCAGGGGCCCTCAGTGCCCACATGGGAGCTTACCCTCCTGCTTGCAAAACTTTGCCCTCTAATGCAGAAAGAAAGGGGTTCCATGAAGTGACTTCATCTCTGAATAGGTCAGGGACAAAGTGTACTCAACCTTTTTTTTTTTTTTTTAAGATTTTTTTAATTTATGCATCCAAGAACTGGGGTGTAAGCCAGAGGTGTGGGTGGTGCGAGGATTCACCAGAGACAGTGGGGAGCAGAACAGGCAGATCTACTGAAATACACTGCTGAGGGGAGCAGCGGGCAAAACAGGAGAGGTCTGCTGCACCATGTGGGTCTGCTCCCTGGCAGGTGGGGGATGGAACTCAGGCTGTGGTGGTTGGCAACAACTTGATGGTGCTGTCTTTAACCCTTGGGCCACCAGGGTGGCTCAAAGAGTGCCTTGAAGTATAACCTTGAGGTTATACTGAAGACACAACAAGGGGTGGGGACCCCAAAGGCAGGGGCGGGGCAGAGGAGGTGATATCTAGTCTGGACAACACAGCCTAGCACCACAGGGTGCAGCCTAGCATTGCACACATGCTCCAATGGACCGCACAGTGGTACTCATCACCGGCTGTTCCTCTGGCATCGGCCTGCACCTCGCCCTGCGCCTGGCGTCAGACCCATCCCGGGGTTTCAAAGGTATGTGAGTGGACCTGGTGGAGAAAAGGCATTAGCCCCTGGGCCAACAGGGGCCCTAGGTAGGAACGAGCAGAGAATTGAGGTCCTTTTCCACTGCAAACCTCCAGTATATGCCACGCTAAGGGACCTGAGCACGCAGGGGCCTCTGTGGGAGGCAGCCCAGTCCCTAGGATGCCCTCCTGATACCCTGGAGACGCTGCAGCTGGACGTGAGGGATGCAGATTCCATAGCCGCTGCCCAGGCACGTGTGACTGAGGGCCGTGTGGATGTGCTGGGTGAGCCTCCTGGTGACACACTCTGCCCAGGATCCTTCCCTGTCCCAGGCACAGGGAACTCCAGGGGACCCAAGCCGGGTGGGGGGTGTGTGAGGCTGGTTGGGTTGGCCTCTCTCCCCGCAGTGTGTAACGCCGGCCGGGGCTTGATGGGGCCGCTGGAGATGCACCCGGCCAGCGCTGTGGCCTCCGTGCTGGACGTGAACTTGATGGGGACCGTGCAGATGCTACAGGCCTTCCTGCCGGACATGAAGCGTCGCCGCTCGGGCCGCATTTTGGTGACCGGGAGCTCAGGCGGCTTGATGGGTGAGAGGCCAGTGGTGCGTGGGAGACAGGGCCAGTCCAAGGGACGGGGTGTAATCAGAAGGGACCAGGCCTGGGGAAAACGGCCCCAGACGACTGCGGGCACCTGGGGCTCTCTGGGAGGAACTCAGTCCCAGGTGTTCGTCAGCAATTTCATATCCCCTCAAAGGGCTGCCGTTCGGCCCGGTTTACTGCGCCAGCAAGTTCGCCATTGAAGGTCTGTGTGAGAGTCTGGCAATTCAGCTGCTGCCCTTCGGGGTCCAGTGAGTCATCGCCCCGCCCCAGAGCCCTCAGAGCCGACTTCGAGGGCCTCAGCTCCCTAATTAGTTGGAGCTATTCTCAGGTGTCCTCCCCAGCCCCTCCCTACTGCCGCTGGCATTTGCCAGGTGCACACACGGTCTTCAGGGGCCCTGGGCACCTGTTATCCCCCTTCACCTGCCGACCGAGCTGGTGCGCAGTTAAGGCCCAGAGAGGTTAGAGGATGGCCCAAGGTCACGCAGTGGCAAGAGACCCAGCCAGGTTCGAACTCCGGCGCTGGGGCGGCCTCAGGAGGACGCGGGTTTTCCGAGGGGTTGAGCGGCCGCGCGCGCAGGCAGATCCCTCCTAGGCGCCCCTGGGGGCGGGCGCGGGCGGCGCGTTTGGGGCTGGGCTGCGGCCTCCGCCCGCGCCCCGGGGCACTCGCCGCTCTCCCGCCCGCAGCGTGAGCCTCATCGAGTGCGGCCCGGTGCGCACCCCCTTCCTGGAGAAGCAGGAGGGCGGCCCCGGCGGGACGCTGGACGGCGCGGACCCCGAGACCCGCGAGCTCTTCTCCCACTACCGGCGCAAGTGCGAGCAGGTCATGCGCGAGGAGGCGCAGGACCCCGCGGAGGTGGCAGAGGTGGGCCCGGGCGGCGGGGCGGCCGGAGCGGGGCGGGCGGCGAGTCCCCGCGCGCAGCCCCCGCCAGCGCCGCCTCCCGCCGCCGCAGGTCTTCGTCGCCGCGCTGCGCGCCCCGCGGCCGGCCCTGCGCTACTTCACCTCCGAGGGCTTCCTGCCTCTGGTGCGGCTGCGCCTCTCCGACCCCAGCGGCCTCAGCTACATCGACGCCATGGGCCAAGCACTGTCCGCCGGCCCTGTGGCCGAGGACCCCAAGGGCGCCCCGGCTGAGACCGGGGCCGGGGCCGGAGAACGGGGGAACCCTGAGCTTGGCTCTCCTCCTGCTGCCCTGCAATAAAGTGTCGGCCCACTGCCGTCTCTTCAAGCTCTCCCTTGCGCCGCCCCCCACGCGCGTTTCTGGGGGGGCGGGGTGGCCTCCTGGTTGCATAACCTTGCGCAACTGCTGGTACGCCCAGAGAGGGGTGATGGGAAAAGATCACACTAGCCAGGAATATTTCAACCTGCGTGGAAACTGAGACTCAGAAAGAGGAAGGAGACGAGTCCATCCTATCTCAGCCTGCACAATGGCCGTCCCCGGACACGTGGGTCGCCTCCTACCCCAGGGCTTTAGAACTGGCTGTCCCCTCTGTCTGCCTTACCTTCCCTGATTGCCTCTCCTCCTTTAGGGCTTTGCTGTTTTCCTGCAACCCTACTTAAGATAGCATTCTCTCCCCTCCACTGTAGCCCCCTGACCTGGTTTTATTTTTGCATTATAGCACTTATTACCAGACGTGCTATGTTTCCTGGCTTATCGACTATTGTTATAGATTTATTTATAGCTTTCATTCTCCAATTCTAGGCACACAGCAATCTAAGCGTCAGGAAGACAGAGACTTTATTTTGTTCAAGTACCCCTTGAGCCTAAAACTGAAGATAGGGGGAACTAAATACACACTAATAAAAGCGACATGGGAGACCGTGTGACCAGGTGTTCAGGGCATTTTTGCAGTCTGCATTTTGTTTCTTCAAATCAGGTCTTCACTTTAAAATCTAAGATGCCTCCTGAAAGAAGCCAGATTCCATTCTGTGTGGCTTTATAACTTTTTTTTTTTAAAGATTTATTTTATTTATTTATTTATGCAAGCACTGGGTACAATCAAGCGCGGGAGGGTGAGAGAATTCACCAGAGCCAGAGCGGGGAGCAGAGCAGGCAGAAGGACCGAAGTACACAGCGGGCGGCAGGAGAGTTCTGCGCGCCATGTGGGACCCTCCTCCGGTGGCCGGGGAGCAGCTGGAGATCGAACCGGCGCTGCAGAGGCTGCGGGCAGCCTCGCAACCCAGCGCTCAACCCCTGCGCCACCAGGGAGGCCCTGTGACTCTTCCACCTTTGACTACAGGTGCAGATCCAGGTTCTGTGGGCCAGAAGCTTACACACTTTGGGGGGGGCTGCTTTAAAATACAAAACAATAAATTGAAAATTAGGTATGAAAGTGAACATTTATGGGGGGCGGGGAACTAAGCACATTGCTGGAATCTTGGAGACTTGTTTCTCTCCCTTTTGAGATCTCCGGGGAAAATTGATCTGAAATGTTTCCTGGCTTCCTCTCCCCTCGGAGACTCGTTCCAATCCATCCAGAACAATGAGCTGCGTGGAGCACCCCTCGCCCCCACCCCCGCGCGCTGGGTCCCCGGCGCTAGCTCCCTGTGCTCCTCGCCATCCCCCGACAGCTCTCCTGGGCTCCCTTCCTCTCTCCCTGAAAATGGCGCGTCGCTGGTTCTGAGTGGTGTGATCCTCGGACCAGGAGCCCCAATTTAAGCGCTACCCTCCGACCGCTACTTGGGTCCCCGCAATGCATTCAGCAGGGGAGCCCGGCGTTGGTCCCGCCTCTGCCGCTGTCCCCCGGTGCACCAAGAACGGCCCCCCCAGATTCTGGTTCTGAGGAGCACCCGTGGCGCGGGCTTTCAAACCCTCCTTGCCACCCCGCAAGCCCCAACCGCGCGGCCCGGGTCCGAGACCGAAGATTGCGCCGCAAACGCAAGGGTCGGGGCTCAGCCCCACCCCAGGGGGAGGACGCGCCCCGCCCCCCCCGAGGTCTCGCGAGAAGCCTGCCGCGAACGCTCGCGAGGTTTGGCGCTCGCCGTGCTCGGAGCTGCAGTTTTCAGGCTACTGCTTCCGGGTCGCAGCCGGGGGAGCCTCGGCGGAGGTGCCCGCGGAGCCAAAGGCCGGAGGTCTCCGTAGGTAAGGGGCCGACCCGGGCCTGAGCGCGCCCCGCTCGTCACCTCCTTTGGCTCCTTGAAAGTCCCGGTGCAGCTTAGCAAGAGGGCCCAGGGTTTCTGGACCCCTGGCCCTAGGACTCTGGGGCTCCTGCTCAGTTTCCCCCCCCAGGATTTCGATTCAGTTCGGCTATTTTGCTGCTCCGTTTGCGAGATGAGGAAACCCCGGCTTAGAGCTCAGCCCCGAGGCGCCATTGGCCAGGCCCCGTCCCCTCTCCCGGGTTCCTCTCCGTCAGCTCCGAGACATACCGAGACCTATTCGATCAGGACCTGCTCCAGGCCCCGTCTCTTGGGTCCAACGCCCCGTACAGATCTCGGCCTCAGCCACATTCCCCACCAGCACCAATCACCCTCAAACCCCCCTCCCCTGTCTGCAGGGCTGGGCAGCATGGCCCTGTTCCGGTCGGGCCTCCTGGTGCTGACGACTCCGCTGGCCTCCTTGGCTCCTCGCCTGGCTCCTATCCTGACCTCGGCGGCCAGGCTGGTGAATCACACGCTCTATGTACACCTGCAGCCTGGCATGAGCCTGGAGGGCCCGGCCCAGCCTCAGTCAAGCCCAGTGCAGGCCACCTTTGAGGTTCTCGATTTCATCACACACTTCTATGCTGGAGCCGACGCCCACAGGCACCTGGACGTCAGAATCCTGCTGAGCAACATCCGAACCAAGAATGCCTTTCTTCCTCCCCTGCCCAATTTAGTACAGAACCTGGCCCACCCGCCGGAAGTGGTGCTCACTGACTTCCAGACCCTGGATGGAAGTCAGTACAACCCTGTCAAGCAGCAGCTAGAACGTTATGCAACCAGTTGTTATAGTTGTTGTCCACAGTTGGCTTCCGTGCTGCTATATCCCGATTATGGGTCTGGAGAGCTGTCCGTGGAGCCGCTGGATGTCCCCTTACCCTCCACCATCAGACCAGACTCCCCCATAGCCAGGTCTCCAAAGCAGCCTGTGCGGGGCTATCAGCGTGGCGCTGTGGGTGGCACGTTTGACCGCCTCCACAATGCCCACAAGATCTTGCTCAGTGTGGCATGTATCCTGGCCCAGGAGCAGCTTGTGGTGGGAGTGGCAGATAAAGACTTGTTAAAGAGTAAGTGGGACAGACCCCAGATTAGGGTGGTGGGGGCCCCCCCAAAACTCCTTGCCCCAACCCATCTCCCAATGCCAAGATTAACAAAGGGCCGCCCTTTACTTCTCACCCCTCCCAATGCCACAGTGCCTGGCACTTGGTGCTAAGGGACTCTTGTTACATGAATGAATGTAGCATTCTTGGTGAGTGGCCTAGTCACCAATCAATCAGAGTCACCTGATTGTGAAGTCAAGAAATCTGCACTTTTAATAAGTTCACCAGCTATCTGATAAGCCCTAAAGTTTAAGAGCCTAGGATAAATGGCTGTGTGAGGTGTAGAAGTTGGAATGCTGGATGTGACTCCCGTACCCACCAGCACCGCTAGTTCTCTGGACAGGTGTCATTCCTTGCAGCCCAGCTCCCCCTTCACACACCACTTCCCAACTTAGCCCTTCCTTTCTGCTACTCCTCTCTGTAGAGAGGCTTAGGGACACTCTTCTCCACACTAAACCACGTTCTTCCTTCCCAATAAAAAGATCTCACAGTTCTGCATTCCTTCCCCAGGCAAATTGCTCCCTGAGCTGCTCCAACCCTACGCAGAACGTGTGGAACATCTGAGTGAGTTCCTGGTGGACATCAAGCCCTCCTTGACTTTTGATATCATCCCCCTGCTGGACCCCTATGGGCCCGCTGGCTCTGACCCCTCCCTGGAGTTCCTGGTGGTCAGCGAGGAGACCTATCGTGGGGGGATGGCCGTCAACCGCTTCCGCCTTGAGAATGTAACCCCTGAGGGAGACTGGTAGAGGGAGTGGATGGGGATGGAGAGGCCATTGTGGGGGGATCTTGGAAGTACCATGTCCCCAGAGGAGGGAAGAGAGGATCAGGGTGGTGGGAAGAGGCAAGGAGGAACTGGTTCCCAGCTTGCCCTCTGAGACAAGCGCTATTTCCAGGGTAGGTAGGAATGGATAAGGGGGCAAGTTGGGTTTCAGGTATTTGCCTTTATTCATCTCCTTCTCTCTCCTCACTCCTCCTTTCCCCCAGGACCTGGAGGAGCTTGCTTTGTTCCAGATCCAGCTTCTGAAGGATCCAAACCACAAGGAAAACGAAGAGGACAAAGTCAGCTCCTCCAGCTTCCGCCAGCGAATGCTAGGAAGCCTGCTTCAGCCTCCAGAGGTAAGCCTGCCCCCCCGCCCCCCCCTTGGGTGGGCTAAACATGCTGGAGAGTAGAAACTAAAGGGTTCAGAACTGAGCAGGACCCTACTAACTCTGGGATTTCCTCTCACCTACCCTTAGAAAAGGCCAGAGCTTCCCTCGTGTCTCTACGTGATCGGGCTGACAGGCATCAGTGGTTCTGGGAAAAGCTCAGTAGCTCAGCGGCTGAAGGGCCTGGGGGCATTTGTTATAGACAGTGACCGGCTTGGCCATCGGGCCTATGCTCCGGGTGGTCCTGCCTACCAGCCTGTTGTAGAAGCCTTTGGAACAGGTAATAACTGAGGAGGGTTGGTGGTAGCTTTAAGTGAGGAGATGGTCTGGCCTCCTTGCTCAATCCTCTCTGTCCTCCAGATATTCTCCATAAAGATGGCATTATCAACAGGAAGGTCCTAGGCAGCCGGGTATTTGGGAACAAGGTAAACACCCATCTCTCCCAAAGGCTCCTCAGCTGTTACTAGACTCAGAGATTGGAACCTACTGGACCTCTCTGGTCTGGCCCTGATTGCCAATTTCCACTCATCTGTTCCCAATTCCCCCCCTTTGGGCTGGCTCGGTCTCTGAGGGAAGGTAACCTCTGCCCGCACCCTTTATTCCCCTCCGCAGAAGCAGATGAAGATACTTACAGACATTATGTGGCCTATTATCGCACAGCTGGCCCGGGTGGAGATGGATCAGGCTGTGGCTGAGGGTGAGTCGGAGGGATGATGGGTACAGTCTAAGGAGGTAGTTAGCTGATTCTCCCCCTGGGAGCATCCTGCCCCACCCCAGCTCATCCATTTCCCCAGCACTTTTGTTCATTGGCTGTCTGACTTGTAAGTGGCGAGGTTCTGCTCGCGGTAACTGGGGTCTCCCTGCAGGAAAGCAGGTTTGCGTGATTGATGCCGCCGTGCTGCTCGAGGCCGGCTGGCAGAACATGGTGCATGAGGTGTGGACCGTTGTCATTCCTGAGACTGAGGTATCTGGAACCCACCCCCAACCCGTCCCAGCTACACACTGCATCCTGCTCTGAGTCGGTGGGCTGACAAATGCCTCATCTGTGCTCAGGCCATACGACGCATCGTGGAGAGGGATGGCCTGAGTGAGGCCGCAGCCCAGAGCCGGCTGCTGAGCCAGATGAGCGGGCAGCAGCTTGTGAACCAGAGCCATGTGGTACTGAGCACCTTGTGGGAGCCAGAGGTCACCCAGCGCCAGGTGGGTGCTCACAGAAAGGCTGGGTTGTGGGAGGGAGTCTCCAGTGGATGCCTGCCTAACCCTGACCTCTCTTCCTCTCAACATCTGGGCCTACTCAAAGGTGGAGAAAGCCTGGGCCCTCCTGCAGAAGCGCATCCCCAAGATGCTGTCAGGCCCATGAATGACAAGTTCCCTGTGGGGCCAAAGTGGCCCTTGGAGCTGATAAGAGATCCAGCGGTGAGAAGGAATGGGGACCTCGATGTTCACCCAGCTTGGGCCTGGAGGACTCTGAGCTAAGCTGGGCAGGGCAGGGCTGGGCCCAGTGGATACAGGAAGCCTACCTAGCGCGCTGGTGTTTGGCCACCACTGAGGATGTGGCTCATGAGAGCAGGCCTCTTGGAGTTCCATCCCCACTCATGTCAGGGTTCCGTGATACCCATGGCTAGGCGGGGCCAGGACAAACACTGGAACTTGAAACAGAATTAAAGGTGAATGTTTCCAGGTGCTGCCTGTATGGTGTCTGCTTCCTGCTCCAGTGCCTCTCTGGGTATCCTTGGGACCCTTGAGTCAGAAGTGCAGGGCCCAAGGCTGAGCTGGAAGCTGTTAGTGTGGAGGTTGGGGCACGGCCTTCCAAGACTGAGGTCAGCCCTGGCCCCCTCTCTGACTGGCTGTGTGCTTTTGTGTAAACTGGGTACCCTAGTTTTCTTATCTGTAAAGGAGCGAACTTGGCTCACAGGCTCTCCGCAATCATTAACTCCCCGTGTGCCAGCTGCCGGGTTAGGCGCAGGAGGAGCTTCCCTCACCAATCCTGAGGCCTGGCGGAACCCGAAGTGACCCGGACCGCTGGCCTGGTGCGGAATGTGGCCTCTAGCCTGTTGAGCCGGGTAATGCGCGTGCGCACATGTGCAACACTATTCGATGGGCGCCTTTGAGGAGACCCCATTTACAGAACGTGTTTCGTAGTCACCGCGCTTCGAAGGCCCACCCTGAGGGAGGGCAGGGACAGACGGGAGGACGGCCCCTCCTGCCACCGTTTCGGGGCGGCGCCTGAGCTGCGCACGCGCGCTGCCCCGCCCCGCCTCGCGCTCGCGGTTGGTGGCTCGCGGTCACGTGGGCGGCCTCGCCTCTTCCTCGCGGCAGGGCCCGGCCTCCGGTGGCTTCCGGTGTGGCGGTCAGCGATGACGGAGCCAGGCGCCTCGCCCGAGGACCCCTGGGTCAAGGCAAGCCCCGTGGGCGCGCACGTCGGCGAGGGGGGCGGGTCGGGTTCGTGCATGTGGAAGGTCCGGAAGACACGGGGGTTCCCTCAGGTCCCCAAAGTCCCGCGTCCCCTCCCCCTTTGGCCCCCGCCATGGCCCCGGCGCTGCAGAGAAGAGTTTTCACCCCGCCTGCACCGAGGTGGGGAGGCGCGTGTGAGCGAAGGCATTGGGGGACGGGAGGTGGAGCAGCGGGGGTGGACAGGATCACGCAGAGGGGCGTCGGTCGGCCCCCCGGCCTAGCCTGTCTTGGCTCTCTGGGGGAGTGTTCGTTTGACCGTGCACCCCGGGGCGGGGGCGGTGTGCACACGTATGCACGCGCTCGCGTGGAGTGAATGGAAGCGCCTTTCCTCAGGGTCGGAGGTCTGATGGACTTCTCCCTTGCTCGGTGCCGCAGGTGGAGTACGCTTACAGCGACAACAGCCTGGACCCGGGTGAGTGCCTGCCTTCCGCCTTCCGCCCTGGAGGGACAGTCCCACTTGAGCCCCGTAGGTCTAGGTGGCTTTGCCAGCCACACCAGAGCACAGGCCACTGCCCCTGAGCCGAGTTCCTGCCCTGAGACAGCGAGGGAGGAACTGGAGACAGTGGCAGGAAGCGTCCCTCTGCTCTGGAGCACAGCCGCGATGGAGATAGTGCTAGCAGGCCACTCTCCCCCTCCTTAGGCCTGACTGCCACTTTGTGGGCCAGGGGGAATCTCTGCAGACCAGTGAGGCAGTGTAGACACTAAGGACAGGAGCCAGGCAGTGTGGCATGACAGGAAGTGGGTGGCCAGTATGGTTGGCTTTGGGGTTAGAGAGAAGTCAGCATTAAAGGGTCAGGAAGCCATTGTGCCTACAGGTGTCAGGGGGCCTAGCAATGACTCCCCCCTTCCAGCCCCCCACCTATCCCTACCCTTTAGTGATTGGGGCCTTTCTTTTTCAGGGCTTTTTGTAGAAAGCGCCCGCAAGGGGAGTGTAGTGTCCAGAGCTAATAGCATCGGCTCCACCAGTGCCTCTTCCGTCCCCAACACAGGTAGGCAGCAATCTGCCCCACCAGGGGATTCAGATATGCCATCATTGTAGTATCTTTCCTAGACAGGGAGCCCTAGTGCTAGACACGGGGTCTCACCCTCTCTCATGTCATCTAGGATAGCAGGTCCATTTGCCATCTCTGAGCACCAGGTTCCTCTTCCCCACTGGGGAACGGTGGGCTAGCTGGGTCTCACCAAGCCCCAGAATGACCTCTCCCTGCCCCGAACTCTGAGTGTAGATGACGAGGACAGTGATTACCACCAGGAGTCCTACAAAGAATCCTATAAGGACCGGCGGCGGCGAGCACACACTCAGGCTGAGCAGAAGAGGAGGGACGCTATCAAGGTGATTGGGGAGGCCAGCGTCTCCAACAGCGCAGGGGAGTGCTCCGTATTTCAGATTCGCTCTCTCCTGACCCCCTCAGACAGTCTTAAGCAGCCTTGGGGGCAGCTAGTGTAGTCCCCGGACTTGAACATTCCCCTTCTTCCAGATCCCTACCACCCTTGTGAGTTTGTGTGCATGGAGCTTTGGTGTTATGGAAGAGAAGTGTTGTGCTAGTTTGCTTTAAACTCTGAGTTAAGGGACTCCAATTCCCCTGCTCTATCCACAGAGAGGCTACGATGACCTTCAGACCATTGTCCCCACCTGCCAGCAGCAGGACTTCTCCATCGGTTCCCAGAAGCTCAGCAAAGCCATTGTTCTACAGAAGAGTATGGCAAGGGAGAGTTTCAGGGGGTAGAGCCAGTGGGGCTGTGGAGAGGGTGGTCATTTTAATGGGAGAACTGGGTATGGGGGAAGAGGAACAAAATCAGTCTTGTCCTTCTGGTTGAGACTTCCTGTGTGTCCACCCAGCCATTGACTACATCCAGTTTTTACACAAGGAGAAGAAAAAGCAGGAGGAGGAGGTGTCCACGCTACGCAAGGACGTCATGGCCCTAAAGATCATGAAAGTGTAAGCAGGGGTGTGTGTGGGGGTGCACAATGGGGGAACCAGGACTTCTGAGGCCAACTTCAGTTCACACCTTCCCTTTGGTGTCTACTCAGAGGCAGGATTCTGTACCTCAGCTGTCCTTTACACACAGCAGACACTCTGAAATGCCTAGTAAAGAGGGTGGGGTCACTTTCTGACCTGGAAGCAGTTGCTGGCTGATGTTAAACATGTCCCAGAAGTTCTCTAGGAATCCCCTTCCTGGCATGTACAAAGAGTAACCATGTTATTTTTCCTTGGCTGGTAGAGTTGCAGCCACTTAGCCCGGGCCTGCTTGCTTTCAGGAACTATGAACAGATTGTGAAGGCACACCAGGACAACCCCCATGAGGGGGAGGATCAGGTCTCCGACCAGGTCAAGTTCAACGTGTTTCAGGGCATCATGGACTCCCTGTTCCAGTCCTTCAATGCATCTATCTCCGTGGCCAGCTTCCAGGAGCTGTCGGCCTGTGTCTTCAGCTGGATCGAGGAGCACTGTAAGCCTCAGGTACGGGCAGCAGAGGCCACGGGAGTCTATGGTCTTCTCCCTCCCCTCAGGCAAAGTGGCCCAAGCCATGATTTGTGCAGAAAAGCTCTCAGGTTTCTTGAGAGTGTTTCTATAACTCTGAGTGCTCGTTTCCCACTCTGCTTTCTTCCTGGTCACGCTTCATCTCACGGTGTGGCGTGAGCACTCACTCTTGCCAGCCCAGCTCTGGGTCTGTTTAGCCCATGTTATGGCTGCCTCCGGTACTCATGGGCCACCCAAGTATGTAAGTCCCCATCTCTTGCAGCAGAATTACTTTGGGGAAGACTCCTGGCCTTCACCCCCAGGCCTACTGGTTTTCCTCACTGTCTTCTGCTTTTGAGACCTGCTGTGCTTCTTTCTGAGACTTATCTCTGAGATTTGCTTATTTCCCAACCTTTCTATTGTGAAACAAGTTAAATACACTGCAGAAAATTTCACAGTGGACAACCATAAATTCTACCATAACATATTATATATTTGCTCTATCACATAGTTATCCACTCTTTCCTCCCTTTTCTCATCCTGATTTGGAGGAACTTCAAAGTAAACTATAGATAGCCCTGTTCTTGGGCTTTTTCGGCTGTCTTCAAAAGAGCACGAGGCAGGCTTGGCCAAGCGGCTCTGTGCCCTCCCTGAGCTTGGTCTTTCTTCCTCTGCTGCCCTCACCAGACCCTACGGGAGATCGTGATAGGCGTCCTGCACCAACTGAAGAACCAGCTTTACTGACCGGCTCTTGGAACCCGCAGAACAGCCAACAAGAGGCCCCTGAGCCTTGCACTTTGAGTACAGAGCCGCAGGGCTGAGGAGATCGGACTGAGATGCCCACTGCACGCCGTCAGCTGGTTCATCCTGGGTGTTTGCTTCCCCAGCCTCCTATCCTCAGTGGGGCTGGGTGTCTGTTTTGTGAAAACTCCTAATTAATTTATTATATTGACCATAAAACTCAAACCTACCCAGTCACCCCCCCTCCCCATAGAAGTTCTAGGGATAGAGGTCTGCTCTGGGCACCCCAAAGAGCTCCTGGCCTTTCCTCTTTTTCTAAGCCTCAGATTTCTGCTCATGATCAACACGTTTGGGAAATCCTGCCTGCCGTGTTGATCCCTTGGACAACATGTGACCCAAGTTTGACCGTTTTGGCAGTAGTTGGGAGGGTGGAAAGGGGTAAGAAGAAATATTCCCCCAGAACCAAAGAGCGAAAGGCTGCCTCATGCGTAGGTTAGGGCTGCCTGGTCAGCCCAAGGTGAGGCCACAACTTTCTGGCCAGCTCAGGGCAGGGCTGCCAGGTTCCTGCCCTTACCTCCTACTCTATGGCCCCTTCCTCTGCCATAGGCAGTAGAGGGAAGCAACCTGCCTACCTACTCCGGCCCTTTCCCCACAGGCAGCAGCACTGCACGGCAGTCACGTGTGACACAGCATCACATACTGGTTTTTTATTTTTGTAAACGTCAACAATGCAATTTTGCTAGTTACAACTCTGAAAAATTAACTGGGCCTCAAAACCACTTACAGCCTTTTGATCAAGTGTATCTGGGTCTCTACTACCTCTCATTTCGCCCAGGTCTTGGGGTGCCAAGAGGGGGTAGAGAAGATACTCTAAAGGCTTCTTGCGAGAGAGAGTCCAGGGTGAGGCCTCGGGCTACTTGAATGTTGTGTTGAGTAACCTCTCTCTATCCTGTTCCTCAGGCTTCCTACTGCCTTCCTCAGGTTTGATATCTGGGAGGTTTGATTATCCAGAAGTTAAATATTTTTATATCAAATTATGTTACAATAAATACCGTCAAATACTCTCTTAGCATTGTTCCAAGTTTAAACATTAAGCTCAAGCACCTAACACATGAATGATGAAATGGGCAAATCCACTCAGGACGACCACCCCTCCACCCAGTACTCTAGTGTACGGCCCTCTCCTCGCTGCTCTGCTCACAGGCACAAAGCAGGAACAACAAAAGCTGGCAAGGCAGCCAGTGCAGGATACCTGTGTTCCCGTACCCCAGTCCTGCCTGAGGGCCGGCTCCTCAGGGGTCTGGGAGCTTGACATTGTAATCTTCATCTGTTTCTATCCCAACTTCTTCCTACGGGGCAGGGAGACAAGTGAATGACTTCAAGGCGTGGACAGAGGCAGAGCAGACCCACTTACAGGGAGAGACCCACTTACAAAGAACTGCTTCTTGCTCTTGGGGTATCCTTCAAGGATTGCATCACACAGGTCTGTTGCCTGACAAACAAAACCGCCCCTTTTCAGATGGGCTGTGCCCAGTTCTGCCTGCCAGCTGTGTGATATTGGGCGGCAGCCATTTCCCAGGACTGCCTGCCTTGGGGCTTCCACACACTTACCATCCTCTTCCGCTTTCTCCATTCCTTGCAGTACTTCTGCCTCTCTCTGTACACCTAGACAGGGAGAACAGGTTCCTCTAACCAGCTCAGCCCCACTGCAGCCACTCAGCCCCAGTTCACCCCCATCCTCCTCTGGTCCTGCACCCTGCCTGACCCCCTCTGTCCCAACTCACTTGTTCTTTCTCTTCCGGAGTCACATGGTTGGTGGCTGCTTTGATGTTCTTCAGTCTTTCTGTGTAGCTGGCACATTCCTTCTTTAACTCCTGGATCTCTTTCTGCATCTCCGGTGTGGTCAGCGCGCTAGTCAGCTCTTTCAGCTCTGAAACCACATCTCCTTATGGTCACTTGCTACCCCTGAGAAAGGGGTTCTGTCTTTCCCAGTGGCTATCCCCCCTGAGACAGGAGACCAGGCCTCAGAATGGGTTCCATATTCTAGAAATGCTCAGGGGAGACGAAACAGTTTTCTCCTCCATCGACTAGCAGTGTTGGGGTGTGAGGTTGAGCAGACTCAGGAGGAGGCATTTAAAGAAGCAGGAGTAAAGGGAAGTGTGGGCTCAGCACACTGATAATCATGATAGGGAAAGCAAATGCAGGTCTTGCCCATTTGTGTTCAAAAACTGCAAGACATGTCTTCTAATGTGATGCCTATTGCAGCCCAGCAAAGGAATCTTCCTGCAACAAGACAACACTGTGGCTGACAAAGCACTCATTTAGCAATTCATAACCTCCAGACTGACCTGACTGAGGGGCACATTCCCAGGGTGTCCCAGTCCTACCTGCCTCCATGTGGCGGCAGCTCTGCTGCAAGCTCTGCACCTTCGCCGTGAGGGCCACGATCTTAGCGTCCAGACTCTGGAGGTCGGCATCGCTCACTGTGTCAAACTGGTCCTGCCAGGCAAGTGGAAAAACAGAAGTGGGGTAATGTGAGGCACAAGTTAGGGACCGACATCTGGGAAGGCAACATTTACATGAGGAATTTGGGGCTCCCCAAGGATATCCACAGGACCCAGGAAAACAGTGGGACAGTACTGCTGAGAAACCATTCAGTTCAGTACCAATAAAAAGGTATAAAAGAAAGGTTGAGACCTGATGCTTGGCCTCAAGGAGCTTCTAGGTGGACAGGACACTGAATAGGACAAAATTACCTTTGAGTTTAGTGCTAAAGCCACTCACTGGGCTGAAGGAGTAAAGAACATTCTTCTCAAGGTGGCAACACTAAATTACGGACTTCCATAGAGGGGAGACTCTGGGCAGGCAACGAGGCATGGTGGGAGGTGTAGAAGTCTGGGAGCCCTTCCATGAAGGGCCAGCTAGTAACAGAAAATGATCACACTGGGGTCTAATGGGACCTTGTCAGTTCATGACAAAGAGTTTAGGTTAGAAAGGACACGAATGCCTGCCTGGGTGGGTGGGTGGGCTCGCCTCTAGACAAGGTGAACTCTTAGCGCAGGAACCTGCAAGCAAAATCCTGCCCCCCCGCCCCACCTCCAGAGGATAAACACTTTGCCCCTTTACAGAAAAAAGCCAACTTCTTTCAGAGAGCTTCAACAGGGTAATAATATGATGAAACCTATTTTAGGAAAAGTAGCCTCCACAGTGGTTCAGTTTAGCGAGTAAGTAACATCTACTGGGGGTCAGATTCTGCGGGTGTTCCGAGTAAGGAACACTTCAGTTCAGTGAGGGGTACAAGGAAAAAGACGCCTGGGATACAGCATGCCTCAGCATTCACAGCATTCAGGGAAGATAGGCTATGCTGGCGTGAAATCCTAAAAGATAAGCAAAAATTAGGGGGGCAAAGAGGAAGAGGGGACTAAAAAACCCCAGGCAGAGGGAGGGTAATGAGCAAAGGGGACAGGAAGAGCACACGTAAACATGCTAATGGATGGGGGCTGGGGCAAATCTCCACGTGCCTTTCCCCTGTGCCAGGGGGTACGAGAGTTTTTAATAGGCAAATGGCATGACTAGATTTGTCTTTTTTTTAAATTATTTTTGAAGATTTATGCATGCATACAAGAGCTGGGGTACAGGCCAGAGGTGTGGGGGATGAGAGGACTCACCAGAGACAGAGTGGGGAACAGAACAGGCAGACTGACTGAAATACACTGCTGAGGGGAGCAGCAGGCGAGTCAGGAAAAGTCTGCTGCACCATGTGGGTAGTTGCCTGGCCGGGGATGGAACTCATGCTGCAGTGGCTGTGGACAGCCTCATAGGTTGTGTCTTAACCCCTTGCACCACCAGGGAGGCCCCTAGATTTGTCTTTACATAGATCATCTGGCTGCTGTGTATCAGACATGTTTGAGGCCAGGAGACCTGTTGGGAGGGTATTGATGAGGCGCCAAAGGAGCAGTGAAGGCGGCCAGAAAGATGAAGTCAAGAAGAGAAAAATCATCTGGCCTTAATGACTGACTAGACAGGGAAGGGGAGTCAACAGCGCGTCCCAGGCTCTGGCTTGGGTCAAGAGTGAGTCAGGAGGAGCCAGTTTAGGGGGACAGACGAGGCCTTCTACTTTGGTGATGCTGATTCTTAAGTGTCTGAAAGGCCTCCAGGAGGAGGTGGCGGCTGGACACACACTTTGATGTCCTATGTGTTTTGGGAGGGAGTTGGAGACAGAAGAAAATCGTGGTAGACGGTGGTCCTAGTAAGAGCCTCCTAGAGCAAATGGCTCTTGGTAGCCACAGTTCAGGATCTTCTGTCCATATTTTAAATCTGCAAATCTTACGAGGTTCAGAGCACAGCGGGGGAGGGGGGCTTCCACACTGATTTAAAGAAAGTCTGAGGGCTCGTTAATAACCTAGCACAGGTGAGTTTCATTGGGGGCCTCCATTCTCCCGCAGAATTAGAACAGACACCGGGACTGACTGGCCTGACGTCGGGCTCACACACAGGTGATATAATCTGCGCGAGTTTTCCTCACCTGGTCGGCAAAATAGACCTTCTGCTTGCCGTACGTCTTCTCTTTGATCTTGCCCTGCTGGGCCAGTTGCTCCAGCGCCTTCACCACCGCCTGTCGGAGGAAGGGGCGGGACCTTCGAAGAGCGACTCTGGGCGCCCGGCAGGGGGTTCCAGCCGGTGACCGGTCTGAGGACGTCCACGGCTAAGGCGGCAGCCCCGCGAGGGCAGGTCCTCAGGCTGCTTCGCGGGGGCCCCGGGGGAGGAATGCCGGGAGGGTCCTCACCGCCTTGCCCAGCCCGTGTTCCCGCTGGAGGTTCCCGAACACGTCCTGGGCGCTGTAGGGGCGGTTCTGCTCCTGCAGGTAGCGCAGGAGGATCCGGGGGGCTGCGGCGAGACGCGGCGGGGAAGGGGGTCACTCGACGCCCCGCCCCCGCCCCCCCCCCGGGTCTCCCCGCGCGCAGGGCCCTCTCACCTCCCGCCGCAGCCTCCGCGCGGCCTTTACTCATGGTCTTTCCCGCCACCGAACTCCGAGGGCCGGAAGTTCCCGTTGCTCGGGCAACGGCTCCTTCCGGCGCCGCGGCGGGGCCGCGGGGCTCAGGCGGGGCCTGGCGTGGGGGGCGCCTTCGCGGGGGCGGAACGGCCCTGCCCGGACACCGTAGCGCCGGGGTCTCCGCCTCCGCCTCCACGCCCTGGGGCCTGGAGACCCCGCGGCGGCCGGTCGCGCGAGACTTAGCGAAGCTGAAGTCGAACGGGGTCAACGCCCGCCGGGCCGGCGACTTGCTCGGGGTCTCTGGGCGCGTCCTGCGCGGTGTCCACCGGGGACGAGCGCTAGTTGCAGGCGGGCGGAGGCCGCCGGGGAAGGCCCCGGGAGGCGCCTCCCGCTGCCCTTCCCGAGCTTCGCCCACAGGGGGCGCCCGACACACGCCCCCTGACCGCCCGGAAGGGAGGGCGGGGAGGGGGCTACTCTTAAGCCGCAAAGCTCGCCTAGTTTCCTGTCGGTCCCGTCAACGCGAAGGCAGCACCTGGCAGGTGCTTTCCGCTCCTGCCTGCAGTGACCATTGGAACAGAGCCTGAAATAAGTATTTCTAGTTTCTGAGGTTAGTTGAAGAGCAGCTGTCAGCTCAGATGATCCAGAGGAACAGCACGGTACTACTTTTTAAGACATGTATTTTCACTCCTTATGGGACAGTATTAACTAGAAATGGTAGAACTACAGACCAGATGCCACCCAACAGTGCCAGACGAACGTTCACTTTCGGGTTCTCTTGAGGTCGTGACCTCTTACCATGGCGACTGTTTGGGCCATCACAAAAGAAAATTACAAGGGACGGGCTGGCAGGTCCCTCTCACCTGACCGCCTCGAATTAATCACATCTCAGATTAGTAAGTTTTTCAAGGGCAGGACATCATGCAACATCAGTCTCCTAAAAGTTGTTCTCATACAAGATTTATTCCCCAGCATCCCTCCCACCCCATCCCCATCCTAATTCACAGTGGAGGACTAAGGAGATCCAGAACACGATCCCCCAGGTACAAGAAACACCTTCCAAAGATTTTGTTCTTCATTCCTTCCTTCCCTCTTGTCAACTGCCAAAGCCTGAAGCCACACACTCATGCAAACAAAAACACCCACTCCTTCCCCACAGGTCCCATTTGGTTTTTTCCATATTAGAGTTAAGACAACTGGGCTCTGAGACTAGAGAAGGTATCCAGTCTGTCTGACAGCTCCAGAGGCCATTACCCCTCACCTTCATAGAGGTAAGTAACTGAAACAAGCAGCTAACTCTTCTCCCCTCACACTGTTAACTGTTTTCGCTCCCTGGCCTCTGCCTCGTCCAGCAACCAAGAGCGAACATGTTAGCACACCGCCACGTGCAGCACATGAAAATGGGCTCTGTCCAGCACCCCTCACCCAGGTATGGAGGTGTTTGGGGAGTGGTCCCTGAGGATCAGCAAAGGGCTAATGCAGAGAGAAAGGGGAGGGAAAGGGGTAGAAGAGTCTGGCTTGAGCTCTGACTGGGGAGTTAGACAGGCTGTAGGCTAGCACAGGTTAAAACTAATTACCATTTTTTATTTTTGTCTCACATGATTCTACCAGAGGCAGTGGAATAGATAAGTCCCTCAGAGGGTTCTCTGCTGATTATAGCTACTTTCTTGCAACTGGGCTCATCCTTGGAGGCCCAGTCAAGTTGGGAAGCACTTGATAAAAGTATGAAAGAATCTGAACAGGGACTAAAAAGAGCTGGTGCAAGAAAAGCTGGTGGCTCCTGGGATGAATGCCACTGAGCTATTTGTAAAGTGCTTCTTTAACACCCCCCATGGAATTATTGCTTCTCCAGAGGAGGAGCAGGGGCAGGAACAGAACATGGGAATGGGTATGGTATTGCTTTGCTCATTGCTCAGGCTTATGGTCAAATGAAGCCAGGGGTCGGCAGCACCAAAGAGAACTGGGCAGCTCCAGAGGATTCAGTGAGACCATTAGATTCTGAGGCGCTCACCTTCCTAGCCAGCTGACCCCGAGGCCCAAGGTAATGTAGAAGAGGCCCACCCCACATCATGTTCACATTTCTTAAATTTCACTAGCAGTATTTTGCAACAGCCTCAAGAAATGAGGAGGAGCTTGGGCAGAGGAAGCAGACCTGCTCTGCAGAACCAGAGAACAAGCTTGTTGGGAAACAAACAAATCATGGCTTAGCACTGGAAGAGGATGACCGTGTAACTCTTCTGGCTGCTGCCTGACTTTTGGAGCTCTAGAGACAGGAGGAAGGAGAGGAAGGGTTCTTCTGTCACTGAGGACCCCCAAGCACCCATACCTAGAAGAAAACAGCAGCACCCCCCTCAAAGGGGAAACAATGCCCCTGACTACTTTGTTCCCCGAAAGTACCATCCTGATGGAGAGAAGCCTCCCTCAAGGGAGCACACTCTGACTTCAGTGACTGAGCTCAGAAGTGGGTGTCCAGCTGGTGGCAGGGGAGTGTGCTCTCAGCAGGCCTCTGAGGATCAACCAGAACACCCAGCATACAAATATAATTCAGGGGATGGGACCTGGGTTCTTCCCTTGCCCCTTCACCTTATGTGGGATGGGGAGAAAAAAACCTAAACTCCATGACCCCAACAGGAGTTTCTGCCTCAGTGGCTCCTGGAACTGGCAGGGTCTAGCTGATTCAGCTCTGACTGGTCCAGAAGTTCAAAGTCATCCCCCTCAGCGTCAGTGTCCAGGTCAGAACTGGGGGCCTGGAGGAAGCCTCTTGTTACTCTCCGAGGAGGTGGGCCAGAAGGGCCTGTCTGAGAGGCCCCTGACAGCGCCAGCTGGATCATGCTCTGCGAGACAAGGCTAGCAAGGTTGCTGGTGAGGTTAGACCCTGCAGGAAGGGCACTAAGCAGAAGCTCTGGCAGTGCAGCTTCATCCCGACTGGCAGGGATTGCCTGAGGCTCTTCAGTCCCTGGTGCGGACCGGTACATCAAGCTGGGCATCCCGATGCTGGTGTCATCCTCATCGTCCAGGCCAGTGGCATCCACATTAATGGACGGGAAGTCTGGAAGGTCTCTGGCAAAAGATTCCTCTGGATCACTGTGACCATCTAGATCTGGGAAAACAGGGATGTCTGAGACAAGGCAGTTGCCTTGCCGTCCTGTACCCCAGCCCCACAAAATCAGGCCCGTCTAATCAGGTTTTCCACCCTAGCCTGTGGGACAGGCTAGCTTTACTCCTTACAAGCTGCTGAGGTATCTGCTGGCCAAAGAACTCCCCTCTTCACTATACCCCCAAGGAAGTTACTAAGGGACTGAGAATTTTAAGGAGAGCAGAAGTACCATGACCCAGCCACACCCCCAAGGCCACTCTGCCACTTGACCCACAGCTCAGGAAACAAAAGGAGCGGGCACCAGTATCCCTTTTGCCCAGGGAAGCTGAGACAACAATAAGAGCCATAATCAACTCAGATCTGAGGCTCCCCTCACCTTCAGAACCTTCCGTTAGAGGTGTTTGGCCCCTTGAAAGATTGAACGTGCCATTGTCTGTACAGGAAACCTCAGCATCCGAGTGTTCAGAGTCTGTGATGGCCAATTCCCTGGCAACAGTAGAATCATCCAGCTTAGGAAAAGAAAAGACCGACAAGTCTGAAGAGATGATGCGATTAGGAACCAGGCGAAGTCCCCCAGTAACAGCTTTAATGAGCTAGCCCTAGAGGCTAAACTAAGGCCAGCAGCGAAACCTGGCATGGAGGGGGAGTCTAGTCAAAACTGACCCTTTTTAGGCTGCTCCCCAAGGAATACCCTTATTTGAGCACAGGAAGGAAAGCAGTCTTGGCACCAGCTAGCCACTTACTTTTGCCAAACAACTGAGCCAGAGAATACTTTTTGCAGGTGGTCAGGGGGATACACACACAGCCCAACCTACAGTGGACTGAACTGTTTGAAAGTTGATCATGCCAGTTCCAGGAGCTCTGCCGTGATGGCAGGGGTTAAAAGGAGACATGGAAGAGGGTGTGCTGGTCACCAGGCTCAAACTGAGATCTATGTACAAAGTTCCAAACCGAATACTAGCTTCTCTGCTCGCTGCTCGTGGAGATTGCCCCATGGGCCTTGGGGAGCCCATAAGGAATCCGAAAACCTGGATACTGCCTAAATGTGAGGCGCCAGATGATTGAAACGGAGCTAAAGAAAATGGGGCAGCTCCCACACCCAAGATACCTGAGGACAGAAGGCAGCAAGCTCCTCTTCGCTGTCACTATGGTCGTCCACAGCGCGGTCTGGGTGTAGAGCTCTGCGTCGCACTATGTGCAAAGATCAGAAGGACTTGATGTCTTCCCTTGAGGGGAATCCCCACCCCCTTTGGACTTCAAAGGCATAAAATAACATAAAGAACCAGTCTGAATATGGCTCTAAGACTGAAGGCCAGGCTGCTGCACCTAAGGGGCAAGGTAGGCTGATACCCCAGGAGAGAAAGTCCTGTCTCCCATCAGCCCTCCCACCAGTAACCCTGATGTAGTTTTGTTCTGGTCAGATGATCAACTTCCAGGCCTGTTAAGAACTCTCAGGAAATGCGAGGGGCAGGTGGGATGTCAAGGAGGCAAGCAGACACTACCAGAGAGAGGGCAAAGGGAGATACCCCACCCTGATTAAACTAGGCTTCTGAGTTCTGATTCAACTGGCCCACGGGGAGCTGGGTCTTGGTAACCATGTGCAGGGCTCTCTGAAGGCCATGGCTAATGAAGCACCGAACCTGAATCAGATCAGGAAAAATGTTCATACAACTGCCATTTGTGCGCTGGAGGATCCTGGGTTAGTGCACTTTGGGCTCTGGAATGTTTTGAATCACCTTTGGAAAGCAGTTGTCAGCAGTGAAAAGAGGCCTGGCTGGGCCTCCCCGGTGGTGCAGCGGTTGAGCACTGGGTTGCAAAGCTGCCCGCAGCCTCTGCAGCGCCGGTTCGATCCCTGGCCACCGAGCAAGGGTCCCACATGGCGCGCAGACCTCTCCTGCCGCCCACTGCTCCCCTCAGCAGTGTACTTCAGTCCTTCTGCCTGCTCTGCTCCCCACTCTGGCTCTGGTGAATTCTGTCACCCTCCCGCGCTTCTGACTGTACCCAGTGCTTGTATTAATAAAATCTTTAAAAAAGAGGCCTAGCTTAGGAGGTAAAAAGACCTGTTCTACTATTTACTAACTGTGAGCTTCACTTTCTTCACTGGAAAAGGACAATAATACCACCCACTGATCAAGGTTCTTGTAGAAGTTAAACAAGGTGATGTAGGCAGAGCAGCCAGCACAGTGCTTGGGCACATGGAGAGTGCTAGCGAAAAAGCAGCTAACACTAGTGCTTATCTTCACTGGCTTGTATTCAACTTGGGAAAACTTTTCTTAGATTCTGTTTAAAATGGAACTATGCAGAATTCCAAACAGGAAAAATTGGTAAGCCTGGATAGATTTCCCTGGAATAGAGTATCATTTTTACCTACACACACACCCCTACCACACCTCACTTCTCCACTTTTGAGGACCTAGCCATTATGTCAGATCTACTTTTGACCTGAGAAGGCTTCTCCTCTTCCCCAAATGGAAGGAAACCTCCCTGTGACACTTACGTTGTCTCTCTCTCTGCTTGGACATCATGTAGCCACGGACACTGAAATCCAGCCGCTGCAGAGCTGGCTTTAGCCGTACGTACGCCCGATCCCACAGACGGTGGTACACAGCCAGGGGCCATATCATGACAGTGACAACTGAGAGGAGAAATGGGAAACAGTAGTGGAAATAGTCAGGGCTGCCTGCAACAATCCTAGCTATCCCTCTGCTATCATGCATGCCCTCAGGGCTTGGAAGCTTAGTGTAGAACAGGTCTGTGTACTTCTGTGGGCCATCTTCACTGGTCTCCCCTATTACATGAGGGGGCTTGGGAGGGCAAGGACTTCTGCCATGACCTGCAAGGTTGTGCACAGAGCATGCTGCCAACTGAGGGAGGAAAGGATAGAAACAGGCAGTGTAGTCACTTGCCTGAGAGTGTCACTGAACCATAAACAAGGTCAAATGGTGACACCACCTCAGACACCACTGATCACCTGAGATTCTCATATATTAGGGCCGCTATCATAACTGTTCAGCTCTTCAGGCACTAAGCAAGCAAAATTCAGGCCAACAGGAAGTAACTAATTTTATAAAAATATGTATGCTCCATGGAGTAAAAAAGCACGCTGGGGTTAACAGAGCCCAGTAGAGAATCCACTGAGTTATGTTCCACTGTTACACAATACAAGGCGCTAAAATTCATCTCCTTAAATAGGGAGACAGTTCTTTACAGTAGGTAACACAATATATTGATATGTTAGTAGATCTTCATCAATTTCTAAAACTGACTTGGTAAATGACTTGGTAAGAACTTTACATGTGGGAAGCCTGTTAAAGGTATAAAGAAAGACATTTTTATGATACCAAACAGGTCATGAAAATATTGAAAGATCATTTCCTGAAGAACCAAACTTCTCTTTATCATTTCCTGAAGAACCAAACTCTCTTTATCCAGAGTTAGCTGTGGCTGGAAAATCAACAGGTAGGGGAAGCTCATGGGTAAGGTATACGCCAGACTTACGCATTAAGTAGGACAGCAGGAGGCCAGGGACATAGCGGCCCAAGACTGCCAAAAAGGTCAATATCCCACAGGTCAGCAAGCAGAACTGGGGGAGGTAGGAAACAGTGTTAAGTTTCTAACACATGGCAGGGGACCAGGGTGTAGAATGGGAGGGGGCAAAGCGGAGATATGATCTAAATAATTCTTTATGATCTATGAATCAAGCACATCAGAATGACAGATGTAGCTAGCCACTTTTGTATCCAATGGTGGTGATCTGTTTGGGAGAAAGAGGATGATTCCATTTCTATTCACGCCATTCTATTCACTTCTATTATGGTTAACCCCTAAGACTGTACCTTTCATGCTGGAAAATCGGTTTGAATAGGACTTAGCCAAAAATTCTCTCTGAAAGCCAAGTGTTGGTGATGGGTTTTTTAAGTCAAAGTAAAAAATTTAAAAAACCCAATCACCTACCCCATGTTTAACACGCCACAGCACACACACAAGCAAGTCTTCTTTCCCGTGTTGGGGCAGGAAGATGATCTACTATAAGCGGCAAGCACACCAAAGGAGGAGCCACTGAGCTCATGCCTCAGTCCTAGCGGCTAGTCAGAAGCCCCTTCCTACACCTTCCCTTTATTGCCACAAACACCATGGTCTTTTCTTTGTTGAATGAGGCTATGCAGTGAAACAGCTATTTCAGTTTAGCATAAACTGAGAAGCCAGAAATGAAATTGAAAAAGGGAGAGTCTTGGGGCATCCCTGGTGGCGCAAGGGGTTAAGCACAGCACTATGAAGCAATCCACAGCCTCTGTAGCATGAGTTCAATCCCTGGCTGGCCAGGGAGCTACCCCCATGGCGCAGCAGACCTCTCCTGTCTCGCCCACTGCTCCCCTCAGCAGTGTACTTCGGTCAGTCTGCCTGTTCTGTTCCCCACTCTGTCTCTGGTGAATTTTCTCACCCCCCCGCATCTCTGACCTGTACCCCAGCTCTTGTATGCATAAATAAATAAATCTTTAAAAAAAAGAAAAAGGGGAGAGTCTTACCTTGCCTGGGTTTTGCTTTTTGAAAAGCAAAAGATTCCTTATGAAAATGGTCCCACTAACCCAGACTTCAGCTACGTGGTGGCAGAGCTCGGGCACGCTGAGCAACCGAGGGTGCACAAAGCCCCAGCTATGGGAGAGAGAAGGGGGAGCTGTGAAAGGAGGGTGTTGAGGGTTTTCCTCATCTTGCTGCTTGGCAGCCAATACTTCCGGGTTTAAATAGGGGCTGGGGAGTACTGTCCTAGGTGCTTTGGAGGTGAAGCATGACTTTCTTCTTGGCTTACCAGTTGAAACTTGAATTTAGAGACTAGGAGGGCAAACTTGTTCTGACAACTCCACCCTGTGAGCAAGCAGCCAAATCCACGTGTGTAAACCTGCCACTAGCTCCAAGGCCCTTTGTGCTTAGAAACATCTTCCCTGCACTCAAACCATTGCAATTCACTAGGATTGCAATCTAAGGATAAAAGTAAAGCAATCGGACACCACTGCTGCTGAGGGGAATGCAATGGTGGATGTCCCCCTCAGAGAGAAAATAAAGCAAAACCAAAGTAAACCACAGCAGAAAAAATTCCTTGGACCAAACACATGGGGTGAATGAACTGATAAATGAAAGCAGGAGCTGTAAGACACAAGAGGAATCTTTGGCTTGTTGATGCCGGAAACCAGTGTGTTTTCTGACTAGGAACTTTAAATAGCCAGAGGTCACGGAAAATAGCAAATGACCTGGTAATAAAAGCCAGAAGATAAATGAACTAAGTTGCCTCAAAGTTATCACACGAGCACTGAATAATGCAGTTAATTCCCTGGCATGTCAAGTTATGGGCACCTGGAATGCTGCATTTTCAGAAACTTCTCTTGGAAATATCAGAGGTCATTAGTCATTTCAACGTATCTGCTGCCTGAACTTCAGGAACTATTAAAATGATTATTTGGAACAGACTAGGTTCTCAGCTTATACTGTGTCCTGAGTATGGGGTTAACAACATGTAACCAGAATATTACGCAACAAGAGAATCAGAGCAACAAAAAAGGGATTTAATTAGTGTTCCATACCTTTCATTGTCTACTGCGTCAGGTCTTGGCACTACAATATTAAAAAAAACACCAATATTAGTTGGTAGAGAAAATTAAACACAAAAAATGTTAGACTGTTGGTCTGACAGCCCATGTTTTAATAGGTTTGGGGGGAAATAAACAGTAACAGTCAATAAAATGGAGACACCATGTTACACTGCCAGAGCTAGGGAACTACAGCAAAGGGAATGATGGTCTATGCCTGTTCGTTTCTCTAGGGAAAGCGGGGGATCCAAATGGACCATAAGGACCCCTTCTAATCACGATAGCTAAGAACCAAGGTACACACCCAAAAATGGTTGATCCCACCCCTCAAGTGCGTCTGGGCTGCTCATGTACATCAATACACTGGGCTACCACAGCATGTTATTTTAACTGCACCAGCCCTAGAAATCTGCCTATTCTCTTTAAAAAAGAGACCCATTAACAATAATGAATGATACAGTCTGTTGACATTCACCAGCCTAAGACAGGTGGATGAGCTACATGATTCCTTTAAATCTCTGCAAAATAGTATAGGAATGTACTTAAAGGCTGTTCACTCTAGTTAGCATCTGCGAGAAATTCAAAATTAACCTATCCAAAACTTTCAATTTTCCTCGCTCTCATGTCCTACCCAAACTCCCCTGCCTGACACTGTCTATATCTGTTAATTGTAATGCTATTGTCCTATTCTCCAGAATTTGAAATCCCAAAGTCTGCTTTTATCCCTTATTCTTCTAATACTATGTATCGTTCTTCTGTGTCTTCCTTCTTCACAGCTCTTTGAATCATCCTGTTTCCTGACACCTCCATGACAGCTCCTGCAATAGTCTCCTAACAGGGGTCCCTCCTTGCCCCTTTTCTCCCTCCCTTTGATCCTATAAAATGCTACCAAATTAATCTTTCATATCATCTCTAATAAAAAAAAACCTTCAAAGACGAGCTACTACCTTTAAGATAAAGTCTAAATTTCAAAAAAGCATTTAAAAGAAATTCCTGAGAGGCAAACTGATACCTCCTTGTTAAAGATGTAGTATCCAATGAGATTTTTTATTAAATGAAGGACTACTTATTCCTTAGGCCAATTACAAGGGCAAGATTATCTCAGGTAGTGGATACAGATTTCCTAAGTTTAATAATAATGGGAAGGGCAGAACTCACTCAGATCTGAGTCATAGATGGGGCATTCACCCTTGAAGTGTCAACTAAAGCAAATAATACAGACATCAAAACGTACTTACAGCTCCATATGCCCTCATAAATCCCCAAAACTATAAGCAAAAATTACAGGAAAGCCCATTTCCACTTCAGATTGTTCTAAATGCTACCAATTTACCTCTTATTTCAGGCCAGATTTTGTTCTTCCATTGATCAATACACACAATGATCATAGAGCTGAACGCAAGCAGAAACACAAGACGAAGGGATGTCAGTGCAAAGAACCTACAGAAAAGGAAAAACAGAAGGTCATTATCCACTTAAGGTAATTTCAGAAAAGGCCATATGTGCACTGTACACTCTGAGGAAAAGAAAACTTTAAGTCCTTGTTCTATATCTTGAGTAAATCGCTTAGAATTTCTGGACTTCAGCTACTTTGCTTATAGGGCAAAGGGAATAATATGCTTCTGTAAAGGCAGAAGACTAAAACAAACAGCCTCTTGAAGCCCCCTTAACTCTTAAGACTGTGATTCTACTAATTTCAGGAAGAATTCATCCTTTTTAGCAAATGATGAAAGCACACACCTTTCTACCAAATCAGACCCTAGTGTAGAGCAACACACTGACAAAAGTGTTTTAAAGAGAATTTAACTCAATTAGATAACCTTTTTACAGATAAAGGAATTGAGACCCAATAAAGTACAATGACTTGGTCAAGGTCACATAGAAATGTTACCCTAAAGTTATAACAAAAAGTCAGTTCTTCAGAATTAAAACCTATCTTTCTCAACCCTTTCCAAGAAATTGAAGAGGGAGGGCCTCCCCGTTGGCGCAGCGGTTGAGCGCTGGGTTTCGAAGCTGCCCGCAGCCTCTGCAGCGCCGGTTCGATCCCCGGCTGCTCCCGGCCACTGGAGGAGGGTCCCACATGGCGCACAGACCTCTCCTGCCGCCCGCTGCTCCCCTCAGCAGTGTACTTCAGTCCTTCTGCCTGCTCTGCTCCCCACTCTGGCTCTGGTGAATTCTCTCACCCTCCCGCGCTTCTGACTGTACCCAGTGCTTGTATAAATAAATAAATAAATGATTGAATAAATAAATCTTAAAAAAAAAAAAAAAAAGAAATTGAAGAGGGAACACATCTTGATAAGGCCAGCATCAATGATACCAAAGCCAGATGAAGACTACAAGAAAATTGCCAACTAATAACCTGTATGAAGATAGACCAAAATCCACACTAAAGTACTAGCAAACTGAATTCAGCACCATATTAAAAGGATTACACATCATGACCAATTTGTGGGATTTATTCCATGAACTTATTAAACTAAATCTATTAAAATTTATTTATTGCAAGAGTGGTTAAACATACAAAGATGAACAAATATATCACATTACCAGAATAAAGGAAAAACTAGTTCTATTTGAAAGAGTCAACAATAAATAGATATTCATAAACAATCTTGGAAACTAAAAACACTGACAACACATCTGAAGATAATAAAGAATTATGTTAATTTTTTTAGGTACAATGTTATAGAAGTTATGTGTTTAAAGTGCCACTATCTCTCAGAAATACAAACTAAAATACTTATAAATGAAATGATGTCTGCAATATGTGTCAAGATAATAGTTTGGAGGGGAAAGAGTCTGAAAGAAGATGAAACCAGACTGACCATGGGTGGTAACCACGCTGAAGTTGGGTGATGAGTACACATTCTTTATTTGTACTATTCTCTCTACCTCCGCACATACATAAAATCTTTCACGATAAAACGTTTTAATGAATTGTTCTATTACACCACCCTAAAACCTCAAAGGCAGTGCAGAACATCTGTGGTGTGTTAGCCAACAAGCTGCATTTACCAACAAGCAGAGACATTGAAAGTAAGCATTTAGGAAATTTTTTTTTCTTAAATTTATTTATTTATGCATACAAGAGGTGTCAGAGGTGGATGGGGTGAGAGGATTCACCAGAGACAGAGTGGGGAGCAGGACAGGTAGAATGACCGAAACACACTGCTGAGGGGAGCAGCGGGTGAGACAGGAGAGGTCTGCTGCACCATGTGGGTTACTCTCTGGCCGGGGATCGAACCTGTGCTGCAGAGGCTGCAGACAGCCCCAAAGGCCGCATCTCAATCCCTTGCACCACCAAGGAGGCCCTTAGGAAATCTTAAGCAATTTGATCAAGCAACTCTGAGTGTAAGAATACATATGGACTTATATTTTCTATGCATTTTAAACTTAAATATTCTAACTCATTTATATTGTATTTTACAAGAGTACTGATTTACAACATATTGGGGGAAACAATACCTCTAGTCCTTCACCACAGGTGGTTTGAAAAACATTGCTCTAAGATCCAAAGGAAATACATGCCCCCAAAGCCAAATACACCCCCAGAGGTGGTTCAGCAAGGCAGTAAGACACGGCTCTTAGAGGGGCTTGAGTTTGAGTCTCTGAACAACAGTTAGTCACTTTTAGTTATGGAGACCTTAATCTCTGCAAGCCTCGATTTCATCTGTATGTGATGTTATCGATTACAAATATTGCAGAATAGGGCCTCCCGGTGGCGCAGCGGTTGAGCGCTGGGTTGCGAGGCTGCCCGCGGCCTCTGCGGCGCCGGTTCAATCCCCGGTTGCTCCCCGGCCTCCCGAACAGGGTCCCACATGGCGCGCAGACCTCTCCTGATGCCCGCTGCTCCCCTCAGCAGTGTACTTCGGTCCTTCTGCCTGCTCTGCTCCCTGCTCTGGCTCTGGTGAATTCTCTCACCCTCCCGCGCTTCTGACTGTACCCAGTGCATGTATAAACAAAAAACAAAACAAACAAACAAATAAATAAATAAATAACATGCCTCTATAAAAAAAAAAAAAAACAAATATTGCAGAACTGTTTGTAGGTATCAGAAACAACATACTTATACCTATAGAAAGATCATATTTGAGGGTCTCCCTGGTGGCACAAGGGGTTAAGTCTCAGCACTCTGAAGCTATCTGCAGCCACTGCAGCATGAGTTCAATCCCTGGCCAGGGAGCTAACCCACATAGTGCAGTAGAACTCTCCTGACTTGCCCGCTGCTCCCCTCAGCAGTGTATTTCAGTAGATCTGCCTACTCTCCTCCCCACTCGACTCTGGTGAATTCTCTTACCCGCCCCCCTCTGGCCTACACCTCGGCTCTTGTATGCATAAATCAATCCTTAAAAATATATCATATTTGGGCCTCCCCGGTGGCGCAGCAGTTGAGCGCTGGGTTGCGAAGCTGCCCGCAGCCTCTGCAGCGCCGGTTTGATCCTCGGCTGCTCCCGGGCCACCAGAGGAGGGTCCCACATGGCGCGCAGACCTCTCCTGCCGCCCGCTGCTCCCCTCAGCAGTGTACTTCGGTCCTTCTGCCTGCTCTGCTCCCCGCTCTGGCTCTGGTGAATTCTCTCACCCTCCCGAACTTCTGACTGTACCCAGTGCTTGCATGTATAAATAAATAAATAAATAAAATCTTTAGGGAAAAAAAATCATATTTGATTTTAATAAAAGTCAAAATACAAGGTATCTAATATGTGCCTAACACATAGTTCTACTCAATTTTACAGTGTAAATTGTTATCACAGTAACCAATCAAACAGGGTAAAGATGACCAAGGATTGGTTACAAATGACCTCTTTTCTCAATTCAACATATGACCTAATGACTTGATATAATCATAGCACAATACTAAGAGTAAAATCAGTATCATAATTTTTAAAAGCTTTATCTGTGGTATATATGAATACATATATACATGCAGAAGCTTTGTTTTTTGCTTCTAGACATTTTTATACTTTATTTTCAGTAACACAAATCCATATGTAATTTTTAAAATCGATACAGAGAATGAGGGCTGAAAGGAGACAAGGACTCAGAAATCCAGTCATCAATGACAAACCTATTCCTATTTTTCCACCCTACCACTTAAGGGATACCGTAATTATAAGTGCAATTAAAGAATGAAAGCTGCTTAGCAGAAATAAGCCTTTAGAGTTGCCACAGGCCATTAATCTCCTCACTAAAGCCAGTTCATCATCCCAACAAACAAGCAAATTTAACAAGGCCAAGCATATGGGCTTGAAAGTGTCCTCCTCCCCAGTGTGACTGCTTCCAAGCCCCACCTGCTGCATGTGGTGAGATTGCTGTTTTCTCTGGAGTACTTGAATGGGCTCTCTAGGGAGGCAATCCAGACTGTCTGCAACTTCCACTTCCCAGGGCGTGATCACTAACACAAATATAAACTGGGGTAGGGAAAGGACATTACACTTTTCTAAGCAAGCTCAGATTTCCAGAGGTGTTGGCAATAAAACTATCATTTCTTTAAGACCCAGACTATCGTAGTCTGTTACGGCCCCACCTTCCATTCTCATAAACTATGCTTTAATTCAGTCTAACACTGAGTGTCTACTATATGCTCAGGTCTTATGGTGAATAGCCCAGTTACAGAATAGAGACATAGACCTTATTCTCAAGTGTATTTGTTCATGTGTGTTTACCATATAACAGGACAAGATGATGATAAAAAGAGAACATCTAAGATTTGAAAGGTAATTGGTAAGAAAACAGAGCAAAAAGGTGTGGGAAGGAAGAAGACATTCAGATAGAGAGCACTCAGCTAGCAGGACTAATGGAAGGAACTACAAGCAGACAGACAGAACTGAATCATAAGGAACAAAAGGGGGGGGTGGGCAGGAGTCAGATCATTAACTGACTGTTCTAACAAAGCGCACTAGATTTTACCCTGGAGATGAAGGTAAATCAGTAGAGTTTTAGAAAATTCTGTCTCTATGAAGGCTACACCTATAAGCATCTTCTTGAGCAAGATTAATCCTGACCCATAAATCTGACTTAGGAGACCCGATTTATCCTTTCCTTGAACAAGTCACTGCAGGAACTTCAGGGAAAAAGAGTGGTGGTATAGCATATCTTGGAAAAATGGCATTTCCATATATATAAAAACTTAATGAAAAGATCATCTCAAATCACTAACGTTCACCCCTCCAAGGTAACTAGAAAATATCCATGTCCCCTAGGGGTGTGACTATCAAGGATGAAAAAAGTGGGTAAGCACGCACTCCTTTCCTTCCAGCTCTCAACACTAAATTCCTAAATAAAAAGGGACTATCAAGCTCAGATTGGTGTTTTGCAACAATTGAGGTCCCATTATGCTTGTCATTTTATGGAGGTAACCTGGAAGCCCAACTGTGAAAAACCTTTGTGGATAAGACACCACACAACTGGGTTTGATCCCCAGCCAGGGAGCTGACCCACATGGCGCAGCAGACCTCTCCTGTCTCGCCCGCTGCTCCCCTCAGCAGTGTATTTCAGTCAGTCTGCCTGTTCTGCTCCCCACACACCCCCACCACCAGCACTTCTGGCCTCCACCTCAGTTCTTCTACACAAAAACAAAGACACAACTGAAGTACTAACAAGACTGGTAGTACTTGTAGAGAGGAGCAGTGAGTGAGACAGGAGAGGTCTGCTGTACCATGTGGATGGCCCAATATTATATATTTTTAAAAACAATCTGTTTGAGGGCCTCCCTGGTGGTGCAAGGGGTTAAATATTGCACTATGAAGCAATACACAACCTCTGAGGCATGAGTAGAGGATGGGGGGAAAATAAGGGAGGATTCCTCTTGATTAGTCTTGCAATGTCTATTCATGCAGGTCAAAATATTTCCATGTAGATATAACAATGCAAAAGTTTGATTACAACATGCAAAACATTTCTCAGCAACTATAATCGGCATGAGAACTTCCCAACCTAGCAAAACAACTGCAAATGCAGTCAACTCTGCATTATTTATATGAATTGAATTATTTAATTTGGGGATTGCCCATAGCCCACTGTTTCTTCTACCCACTGTAGACTTGCAATCTAATGATTTACTTCTCATTTCTAAAGGCAAGCATGCTTATTAAAGGAAGTTTAGAAAATATAAGTTATAATTAAAGAGAAAATATAAATGAAATAAGTATATCCAACTATGAAATGGTCTTGCCAAAAAGAATATACATAGATGTATATATACTCTTTGACACTGAATCGGATCAAACCTATACATCCAATTAATAATTCAGAGGAAATATGGAGCACAGGGCACAAGTTAAGCTGTGGAGATGCAATCAACAAACCCAGTCTGTGGGACACTTTATAGGAGACACTGGTTTCTTCAATAAATAAACTGCAAAGAGGGAAAAAGACTGAAAGGGAACCAACAGAGCAAGGGATGTAAAAAACAGACTATCAGTCACATTATGCGGACTTAAATTTGGATCCTAACTCAAACAGATTTTTTTTTTAAGATTTATTTATTTATGCACACAAGAGCTGGGATCAGGCCAGAGATGCGGGGGCATCCACCAGGGACAGAGTGGGGAGCAGAACAGACAAACTGACTGAAATACACTGCTGAGGGGAGCAGCGGGTGAGACAGGAGAGGTCTGCCTCGCCAAGTAGGCCAGGGATCGAACTCATGCCTCAGAGGTTGTGGATTGCTTCATAGTGTGGTATTTAACCCCTTGCACCACCAGGGAGGCCCTCAAACAGATTGTTTTTAAAAATATATATTATCGGCCATCCACATGGTGCAGCAGACCTCTCCTGTCTCACTCACTGCTCCCCTCAGCAGTGTATTTGAGTGGATCTACCTATTCTGCTCCCCACTCTCTGGTGAATCCTCTCGCCCCCCCTATACCTCTGGCCTATACCTCAGTTCTTATATGCATAAATCTTTAAAAAAAAAAAAAAGACAAATATTTATGAGAAAATTAGAAATTTGAACACTGACTGGAATAATTAATTTGGGGGATCACTAATTTTTTACATGTGATAATGGGAATGTATTTTTTGGCCTTTATTTTTCAGAGACTCATACTGAAGTGTTTACAGATTAAATTATATGACATCGGGATCTGCCTCAAAACAATAAAGGAGGTAATAAAGAACTGGGGTATAGAAGATACAAAATTGGTCATGGGTTAGAAAATTTTAAAGTGGGTAATATGACAGTAAATAGCATTCTATCTACTTACGTGTATGTTTTAAATTTTCCATAATACAACATTCTTTAAAGGATCCATCATCCACATTTATGCCCAAAATGTGAACAGAGGTTATTCCTTTCATTTATGCAAGTCACATATAAAAACTCCATGGCAGTATAAGCTATATCTGGTGTAAAAACTTCCTTCATTTAATAATACACAAATACATATCTGTGTCATCAGAAAAGCAGCAAAAACTGCAAATGATTACATCATACATATGTACAGTCTTTTAAATATTTCCCTAATTGAACTGCTTCCAATTTTAATGTGAAAAAGCTTAACTATGTATCCCTGAGCATAAATCTCTGTCCTTACTTATGACTGACTACTTTAAATGGAATCACTGGGTCAAAAGGCATTAACATTTTTTTAGTCATAGCACTGTTGAGATACAATTTTATATATCCATTGATTATTTTGGGGGGAATTGTATGTTTTTATGAAATGTCCATATTCCCTTTATTAGTGGCTAAAATCCAATGAATTACCGGTTTGAATAAAATATTCCTTGGAAAAATAATCTGGTATGCAGAAAGATCATGCAACTCCAAAATCAAACAATATTTTTAAGGTTAACTCTACCTTGGATCCTCATGATAAGTACAGGTAAATTTTTATAATCATAATAAGATCACATGTCTTTTTCAATCAGAGAAGACACTATTTCTGGGTTCCTTTGTTATTACAGAATAAGCTTGTCTCAGTGGCACTTGAGAACAAAGCAGCCCATCCTGTAGGGACAGAAGGCCCATTATTATACAGCACTTGTGGCTGTCTGGTTAATGAGCCAGTCACTGGTAAATTAGAATGAAAAAAATTAACCTAACCTATATCATGTAGTGAGAAATGTTGCTTGCACAAAACCAGAACTGAAACCAGCTAGATGCTAATGATGTATGTTAATGGAGCGAAATCACGCAATCTACAATTAGTACAGATAAAAACTGATGGTAAGAGGCAAAAAATAAGTAAGCCAAGGCATCCTTGGGAGTCTTTTTGGCTACCAAAAGCAGCAAGAAGTCTCCAAAGACTATCATCAAAAACATTTGCTCAACAGATTTCATCAGAAATCTGATGTATAGATTTTTTTCCACAGATGTTTCTACTTAAACCAGCCCTCCCCTTCCATTTCCTGTTCCTCACTATTGCTTTTTACTCAAATTCTAACTTTAAAATTAGAATTGCTATATACCTTTAATCCTATCTCCGGTCATCTTTTATTTAGGAGGGTTTTGAAGGGGGGACACTTTGTTTTTTTCAATTGTGAAAATTTAGACTGTATAATATCCCCTAGAATATAGTATAGCTAACTCAGACTAGTGACTGTAAAAGCAGATTCTGACAGATCTCAAGTGAGAATCAGTTTGGGAATTGCCTTAAATCACTATCCCTAAGACCACCTACAATCATACAATGTTAAAAACTAAAAAGGGGCTCTGAAAATACCTAGCCCTCCTAGAACCATGTGCTCTCCATGGAAAGGGGTGGGGTGGGGGCTTGGAGTTCATACACATTTATTTCCAGGGCTCCTTGGTCCTCCCCTTATCGCCTACAGGATGAGTCAAACCAAAAAGTTACTTCAACCTGTTCTTTTCTGATACAGTCAGAATACACTCTGGCTGACTCAGATATTCTTCCCCCAAATCACTCATTAACAGGTGGGGTTGAGGCAAAATACAAGCTATTGGAAGGGTAGACCTGACATTCCTATTATTATCCAGAGATAATGACATTATCAGTGACCAGAAGCAACTAAGGTCTCTGATATGGTCACCTTAATTTCTTTGGAAGCTGGAGAAAAAAAAATGAAAGTCTTAAAACACAACAGTGGCAAGGTATCTGTATTTTCATTGTTTATGTTGTTGTTTTATTTAGTTATAAGATGTTGCCTTCATAGGTACAGAAAAACCTTGACTGAGTACAAAATATAATTAAGAGCTAACAGAATTCTGCTAATTTTTTGTACTGCTATCTAATCTTCCAATACCTCAAATGTATAACATATCTCAGCTAATGATGTATTATTCCAAATAATGAAAAATAAGGTATTTAAGATTTGATTTCTCTTTGACCTGAGCTAAAGATTCTCCTCCCTTCCCTAAGCATTTTGTCACTCTTCAACATTCCTAAGTGAAATGTCAACACCCATACTCAATATGACAATACTGGAATATGAAGTTATTTTGAATCTCTTGACTACCTCCCAAGTAAACTCATTTCCTAAAGCAATTCTATGAACGCCAATGCCAGACTACCCTTATCACTTACTCTTAACCCTGGACTCTTGTCAGGTATGCGTCCTCTCCACAAGTGACACAGCCAATTGCTCTATCAGTCTCAAGAGTCACACCCTCATTTTGCTATATTTCTCCTCCACCTACTTAGAGAGTGATGGGAATGCAACAAGCAATAGCTGAATTGTGGATACAGGGCAGGCAAGCTACCAGGAAATGCCAGAGATAAAGATCAATCACAACAATGCTTTAAGAGACCCAGAGTAGAAAAGGAGTTCAGAGTGAGATTCTAAACATAGACTATTAACAAGCTTAAGTAAAGACAGTTGGGGGAGGGCAGCAAATTAAAACTAACATTTAAAGATGTGTCTCAGGCAGAGGCTCCAGAACCCTCCTGAAAGGAGCAGTGGAAAGGCCTCTCCTTGAACATAACATGCCACTAACTCATCTGTATTAATAAACTCTTGATTTATCAGGATTCATTTAAATCTTGATGTTAAACTGTTCACATATCAGTCAGTCAACACTGATACAAACCGATCTACTGAAGAAAACTTTTCCCCTAGAAGTACAGTCCTATGATTGACTGGATGAGCTGGGGATAAGGAATGGGATGGGGAGGTGAAGGGAAAGGTCATTTCAGAAAGTGTTCCTGATGAGGTGCTACAGCTAAGGGTTTCTGACAGAAAAGAACAGGATGGAAGTAGGTACTGGGATCAAGGAAAGAAGCACAACCAGAAATAAACAAGGATGATCTTAGAGATAGTTTATCAAGTTTGCTAAAGCAATGAATGCCAGAGGCTGCCATGAGACCTTTAATCTTAGTCTCCTCCAAACTGTGGGAAGATTAATTTAGTAAAGCATTGTGTCTTCCTGTCAATGAACTTGGAATTATTTGTTTTGCTCCCACTCAATGAAAATCCTTCAAAGGATAAATGTTTCGGTTTTAAACCCAAGAATTTTAAGGGAAATAGATTTTTGGCAAAAAAAAAAAAAGTGTCTTTGGAACCACATATTTTGCTGTTTCAGGCTAATTCAGGTCAGCCTGCTTTCATTGAGCCCCCTACGCGTCTGTTCCTGTGGAGTCTAATCACCAATACTTCCCTAGTTCTGAATAGAAACCTATTAAACGCGGCAGATCCAGTGAAGTCCTAAGTCCACTTCAGTTGATGACAGAAGCAGCAGTTCCACGTTCACAGAGCATGACACAAACAGATTCTAAAAAGCAGATTTATAGTTCCACTTTTCCAGCTCAGGAAAAGTCAAACACACTATTAGACACCCTCAATTTCCTTGCCTATCTACCATAGCTAAGGATGCCTAATTTCTGGAATGGGGAGGAGGTGCAATCCTAAGTGGCTTTGAAATGGGTGAAGTCGCTATTTCATAACTGTTCTTTAAAAGCTTCTAATTTTCTTTCTAGGTGCAGCTTTGGTGGCTCCCATTGACGCTCATACTTCGCAAACTTCCGAGTGGAAGGAAAGGATATACAACATGCTCATTCAGTCGGCTCCAGTTTGTTCTATCACACCAGTGGATGCCTCTTCAGGCCCCCAATCTACCCCGACAGTAACTACTAAAATCTCTGAAGAGTCTTCAAACCACGTTTGAGCAGACATGAGATGGGAGGTGACGGCCTTCAAGTGACACAGCTCTCCTTGCTAAAGAGAGGCGCCTCCGCTCACAGCCGGAGGCTCAAGAGGTGGCCACAAGCTTCTGCCAGATGTGCGGGCGGGGGTGCGAGAGCAGGTAAAGCAGGGAAGACAACTGGAGGGCCCTGGGGAGAACTGGGGTGCCAAAACCTGAAAGGAGGTGAGGCAAAATGAGGCAGATACAGGGAAAAGCCAATGCAGCGAAGAAAACAGAGGAGGCAGTGGTAGACCCCTAGAGAACCCTGACGAATCCGCGCCTCGGAGGGTTTCCGAGGGCCCAGTGGTCTCACCAGAAAGCCGCGTTCAGCCCCAGGCACCACAGGGCGCTCCTGGCTGGCCGCTCCCACACCAGGGCTGCCTGCACCCGGCTCAGCAGAGGCTCATAAGGCCCCAGCACCTCCACCAGGGCCCGCTGCGCCGTCTCAACCTGCTGGTCCCGCTCCCAGGAGCCTGACACAGAGCGGCGGCCCCTGAAAGTCGGCCCTGAAGCCGGGCCTGGGGCCGCAGGCACCCCCTCTGCCTCCGCCATGTCCCCCATGCAGCCACAACATCCGGGGCCGCGGCCCGACAGTCACAATAACACCCACTGCGCAGACGCGCCACTCGGCGGGGAGGCCCTGCCCTCCACCGCGCGCCTGCGCACAGGCTCACCTCGTTCCCACCCAGAAGGGCGGACGCAGCTTAAGTACGTCCCGCGCACCCGCGCGCCGAGCTGGACCCGGAGCTGCGCATGCGCCGTCGGTAGGCCTGAAGCCAAGCGAACGAGGAAGTTCCTTCGCCAGAACTCAGTTCTCATTGGAACGGAGAAAGTTCGCGGGCGGAGCGGTTTGTTTGGCGCCTGCGTCGTGCAGCGAGCGGGCTGGAAGGCTGCGACTTTGCTGGCGCGAGCGGCTGCAACGCCGGTGCCTGAGGAGCGATGCCGAGGGAAATCATCACCCTACAGTTGGGCCAGTGCGGCAATCAGAGTGAGCGAAACTCCGGTCCCCCCACTAGCCAGGTGCCTTAGGTTCTGTGGGATCTTGCTGTGGGCGCCTGGATTCCATCTGCCCTTTCCAGAATCGTGGTACTCGGAAAGGCGGGACCCGCCTGACCAGTGTCCAGTTGTCCAACCTCTAGGGGACCTCCCCTGCGCAGTCACTAGCATGCAGCCCGTTTCTCAGACTCGGGCGACTCCCGAAGCATGACTTCCTATCCTTGGACCCAGGCGCTCTGTCCCCTAGCTGCTAACTGGAACCTGCCCAGACCCAGATATCCTCTTTCTCCCCTTCCGCCCCTCCCCCGCAGTTGGGTTCGAGTTCTGGAAACAACTGTGCGCCGAGCATGGTATCAGCCCCGAGGGCATCGTGGAGGAGTTCGCCACCGAGGGCACTGACCGCAAGGACGTCTTTTTCTACCAGGTGCCCCCAGCGACTTGGCCAGGGCCGACAGTGGCCCGGCGCCCTAAAGGATGGGCAGCGGCCTGGGCAGCTGGCTTGAGGGGGAAGGGCAGGCAGGAGCCAGAGCTGGGAGGACAGAGGACTGGGCAGGCCCCAGCTGATGGGGTGCCCTCTGGACTCCCCTGACAGGCAGACGATGAGCACTACATCCCCAGGGCGGTGCTGCTGGACCTGGAGCCGCGGGTGATCCACTCCATCCTCAACTCCCCCTATGCCAAGCTCTACAACCCAGAGAACATCTACCTGTCTGAGCATGGAGGAGGAGCTGGCAACAACTGGGCCAGCGGATTCTCTCAGGTTGCTATCCCCTAGCAGAGTCCACATTTTGGGGCCAGGCCCTATGACTTGTCAGAGAGATGAAGCCAGATCAACGATATAAAGTGCTGGAGGGAGAGAGACATGACTGAGGGGAGTTGTGTTTTCTAATTCAACTATGTGATAGTCTTAAGGGCCTACATAGCTATTGCTTTGTGCAGGCCATACTAACTATACATATTAACTTATTTAAACCTCCCAACAACCCTAAAGGTAGGTACTACAGGCCTGCCATCTCTTATCTGCGTTTCCAAAACCCAAAAAAAGAAAACCAAAAGACAGTTTATAACTCATTTAAAAAGTTATAAGCAAAAGCGAGTCTCAATGGAAACAGGCGGTTTTATAGTTTCTATCCAATTGTCATTATTCAGTACCTTTCATGGCGGAAATATGAACATGTTAGACTAGCACACCTCACATGCCCACTGGTGTTTTATTCAACATACATTATATGTACCATATAACCTTCCTAGATTCTGAAATATTTGAGTTCTGAAACAACTAGCCCCAGGGATTTCAGATAAGGGACTGTGGACCTGTCTTTTTCATTACCTGCATTATGCAGGGGAGAAAGTCCATGTATTGACAAATTAAGTAACCTGCCCAAAGTCACTCAGCTAGCAGAACTGGAGATGGCCACATGGATGCTCGTCACCACTATGCTGTACTGCCTCAATACAAATGAGAAGCAGGGCAGCTGTGCTCCAAAAAGGACTTTTGAGTAAGGAGAATCAAGGTGGCTATTCTGAGGTCAGAGTCCTTGTCCCATGGTCCTGTCCCACTCTGACCTTCCCCATGTCTACAGGGAGAGAAGATCCACGAGGACATTTTCGACATCATAGACCGGGAGGCAGATGGCAGTGACAGTCTAGAGGTGAGTGTCTTGGGAATGCTGGTGGGAGCTAACATAAGGAAGGCTTGGCAGCACCCCTTAGAAGCTCTGTCAGATACCAGACCTACCACCACATGCCTGTGCACAGGGTCACCTCATTCCCACTCAAAAGGGCAGACACAGCCTAAGCACTAGACAGAAGCCACCAGACCTTGTAGAACAAGGTAGAGCCTCCGAAGCTATCTGTGTTGGGGAGGGATATGAGAAGAAGGCTCAGACAGATAGGAGTCCAAGAAATTGTGTGATAAATCTAGTTTGAAATTCTGCCACTAGAGAGCTAGATGCTGACTGCCACTTCCCCGAGCAGGGCTTTGTGCTGTGCCACTCCATCGCTGGGGGGACGGGTTCCGGCCTGGGCTCCTACCTCTTAGAACGGTTGAATGACAGGTAAGTCTGTGTTTTGAGGGGCTGGGTAGACTTGGTTTCCTAAGTGAAAGGGAGGCCTTTCTATTAACTGGAGCAAGAACACACTTTTCTGTTCTCTCCTATGGTGAGGAAAGCAAAGGTAGAACCATCGAGAACCCCGGATTTGGGACTAGACCCTAGAATCTAGGCTGTCAGTGGAATTGCAGACTATGAATGCAATGAGAACCCTCAATCCTAAGAGGTCTCTCTGTGCTTCCTACGCTACGGTAACAGATTTCCAAAAGTTGACTCTCTTCTCTGTTGACCTGTGATCACACTCCAGTTCCCCTATCCTGATTTAGCTGTGTCCTGACACTTGTTTGGGCCCCATGTTTACCAAGCCTCCCATGTGTTGCCCTGATCCTCTTCTAACCCCCAGGTACCCCAAGAAGCTAGTGCAGACCTATTCAGTGTTTCCCAACCAGGACGAGATGAGCGATGTGGTGGTCCAGCCCTACAACTCACTGCTCACGCTCAAGAGGCTGACCCAGAATGCAGACTGTGTGGTGAGACCTGGAGTCTGCCTTTCCTTACTCCCAAGCCCCTATCGATTCAGTCATTTCCATGCATTTAAAAAGTCCATTTTTAGACCTTGCTTGCATCTGTCCTGTGCACATCCCTTTTGTATGGGTCTTTTTGGCCATGAAGTTCAAAGGAGCCAGGTTCAGCAGAGTTTTTCTTCCTTTGGTTTCCACAAATCTGCTACCTTTTCTGTTCCCCCAGGTGGTGCTGGACAACACAGCCCTGAACAGGATTGCTACGGACCGCCTGCACATCCAGAACCCGTCCTTCTCCCAGATCAACCAGCTGGTGAGCCCCGCTCCTGCACTCTTAGGGACTCGAGGCCCTCCTTGCCCAAGTGATATCTGGGGAAGGGTGGTCCCCCAGGCATAGCCCATGACAGGGCACTGTGTCCCCAGGTGTCCACCATCATGTCGGCCAGCACCACCACCCTGCGCTATCCCGGCTACATGAACAACGACCTCATCGGCCTCATCGCCTCGCTCATTCCTACCCCTCGCCTGCACTTCCTCATGACTGGCTACACGCCCCTCACCACAGACCAGTCGGTGAGAGTGGCCCCTAGCAGCCCTGCCCTTGCTGCCCCTGAACCCAGGGGGCCTGACCTGGCCTCTGCCCTCTCCCTGCTGTCCCAGGAGCTGCCCTGGCAGCCTCCCAAGGCTCCGCACTGGGGGCACATGTGTACGACTTTCTCCCTGGCCTCCTAGCCTCTTCCCTGTGCCCCTGGCTCCCTGTGGGGCCTGTGCTGTGTGGGGTCTGCTTATGCTCCTGGCAAGGGCCTGAGTTTGCTGGGCTGATGAGGGCTACGGCCCCCAGACCTACGGCAGAAGCCCAAAGGGACTATCCCCCGTGGTGTGAGGGAGGACATGTGTGCCTTCTCCACTCTGCACTGGGTCCTGAGTGCCTGCCTGGCTCCTGCGGCCCATGGTCCCCTCAGGTGGCCAGCGTGAGGAAGACCACGGTCCTGGATGTCATGAGGCGGCTGCTACAGCCCAAGAACGTGATGGTGTCCACAGGCCGGGACCGCCAGACCAACCACTGCTACATCGCCATCCTCAACATCATCCAGGGCGAGGTGGACCCCACCCAGGTAGGTGAGGCCCCTTCATTCCACCCCACACTCCACAGGGTAGAGGAGAGGCTACCACCACCACTCGTGTGCCCACCCCAGGTCCACAAGAGCCTGCAGAGGATCCGGGAAAGGAAGTTGGCCAACTTCATCCCCTGGGGCCCAGCCAGCATCCAGGTGGCCCTGTCCAGGAAGTCTCCCTACCTGCCCTCGGCCCATCGGGTCAGCGGGCTCATGATGGCCAACCACACCAGCATCTCCTCGGTGAGGCTCCCAGTTTGCACTGATTGGCCCCAATCAATTTCCTGTTTGTCCCTCGCCTCTCTGCATCCCTGCTGCCCTGCTTCTGACTTGTTTTTCACTCTGGAGATCTCCCAGCCTTGGTTCCCTAGCTTTCTGAACCATATTGTCTTCAAAGTGACCCGTTTTCTCTACACCCCAAGCTTTTCGAGCGGACCTGTCGTCAGTACGACAAGCTGCGGAAGCGGGAGGCCTTCCTGGAGCAGTTCCGCAAGGAGGACATCTTCAAGGAGAACTTTGACGAGCTGGACACATCCAGGGAGATTGTGCAGCAGCTGATTGACGAGTACCACGCGGCCACACGGCCGGACTACATCTCCTGGGGAACTCAGGAGCAGTGAGTCCCCCTGGACTGGGACCCTCATCTGCCTTACTGGTGGACCCAGGCCCTGCCTGACGGACCACCCCCTCAGAGCACAGATCAGGGACCTCACACATATCTTTCTCATGAACACACGTCCGTGTACTCTTGGTTAGCTTGGGGACACGTTTACTTCTCCTCTTATGAGGCTATTTATGTTTTAATAAAGCACTGGATATAAATCAAGTCACTGGTTTCTTTGAAGACTTAGAGAACTGGGGAAGGGGTTGCCTGTGTTCTTTCTCCATCACTCTGATGGTCTTCTGTAGCCTCTTATACTCTGAGGAAAAAGCCTCCCGGAGCTTTTCCTTCTGCCTAGATTAGGAGAATATGTGTAGGATTAACCCACCTGAGAAATTCCTTTCCAGAGTAAAAAGATCCTAGATATTACCTTGCTCTCTGTCTGACACTGTGACCTTTGATCCCTCCCACCCTTCCCTGTATCAAGAGAACATTCCACCAGTTCCAACTTCCTCCATCAGCATTGATCATCACAACAGAAGACCTGTACCCCCAGCCCCGCCCCCAGGCCCTGGCCAAGCAAGGGCCCCCAGTGCCTTTAGGCTTCTTATAGGGGGTGCCCCTGAGCCAGTCCAGGACAAACCAGTGACCAGGCAGCTGAAGTCCAAGATAATCAAGAGCTCAAATCCGAAGTCTAGACTAAAAAAAGGACCAAAAGTGGGCCTATACCAAGGGTGCCATGACATTGTTCTCTGGTCTGCAGTTTTTGAAAGGGCCAGTGCTTTACATTTTTGATAGAAGATGGCAAGGAAATAGCAAATAGGTAGGGAGCGGTCATAAAAGGATCAAAAGGCCAAAGCAGATTGAACCTGGACTGGCAGATTGTCCGGGGCCCCTCTTAGGCCCTCCTACAACCCAAAGGTGAGGAGTGTACAATAGCATTAGATGCCATGTGCATGTACACTGCTAAGCACATCACGACTCTCTGAAGCAAAAGAAAGTATTGATCCCGTTTTATAAATGAGAGCGGTTATTTGCAAGTCCCCCAGCTAGTAAATGACAAAGCCTGGTTCGATTGGGCATCTGTGTTCCTAACCATTGCACATCTTGCCTTTTGTGATCTCTTATAGGGCTGGTGTGGAGACATCCCAGTTGAGGTCTGTAGAGCCATTGAATGGACCCAGGGTTGTCAGAACATGAGAGGGCTTTGATCACCTATGCACACAGGGCAGGCACGGCCCTGGGAGGAGGCTGTCAGCCCAAACTGGCTTCAGGTTCACCTGCAAAGAATCCCTGTCACCCAGGTCAGGGTAACTGTGAACCCGTGTATCCCTTCTTTCCCTTACTACCCCAGGATATCTGGGGCCAAAGCCAGAGATTAGACCCAGGGGGTCAAAAGGCTTGGGGCTGGCTCAGCATGAAGGTGAAACACAGCCCAAAAAGGTTCCCGTGACTCCCCTAGAGAGTGGAAGAGTACCCACGACCTTGGAGCAAATTGAGATTTTTTTCCTCTTTAATGTTAGAAAGTGCACTTGCTTATTACTGACCTGGGGATGATACACTTTTCCTTCCATGAACCTATTTATCCAAAATAAAGCACTGGCTGTGACCAGTGAACAACAACCAGGTCGGACCCTTAGAAACAAAGGGGACCCTTGCAGGACTGCTGGGCAGTGAGCAGACTGCCTGATAGGTGGCAGGAAGGCCACCTATCACCACCACAGCCAAAGCACGAGTCTGTCACTTGCAGTTGCCAGGGTCTGAAGGAGGCTGTGGGTGTTAAGCAGCTAACAGTTCTCCAGTCAGGAAGATGGTGACTTCAGAGCAAACCAGTGTGTGCCTGGTCCCTTCTTGGCTCCCCCTCCCACCCCCAGGCCACTGGGCAGCTTGCCTTGCTGCTCTCCCTTTACCGCCCCTGCCCTTGATCACCAACCTTTAACCCTGGGACATCTACACAAATGGCTGGTGCTGAGTGGGAGATCATGAGGTGCCAGATGTGGTGAGAATGCTGTGTGTAAGTGGCACAAACCATGTCAGGGCCTTAGAACCCATTTATAAGAGAGTGGAGCCCCAGGTGGGAGGAAGCACCCCAAGAATCCAGATTAAAAGCTGTGTGTGTCTAATACTCTAGTCTCCAGCCTCGGAGGGTGGCTTCCTGGGCAGCTGGGCCTCCCTGCAGAGAGAACTGGACCTACAGAGATGGCTCCTTTTTCTGTCTGCTAATGACAAGTACAGACACCTCAGTGCCAGCTTCAGAGCCAGGCCCCTCCCCCAAGGCTATTTCCAGAACACCCATCCCCCCCACACCAGAGTAGCCCCTCCCTGTTCTTGGCCAGCAGCAAACCCCAAAGTGTGTCAACTAGAGGGCAGTGAGGAGGCCAGGTGGGGAGTGAGGGAGGCCTCTGGGAGTCAAGGCAGCAGGTGGTGCTGGTGGTGAAAAATCCCTGTGGCCGGGAGAGACTGAAACCACAGAAGTAACTGTACCCGTGAGAGACAAGGGCTGCTGTGGAAAAGCTGGCAAGAAAGCAGACAGCTCAAGCCAGGGACAGGAACCACCTTATATTAAAACGAGAGGAAATGAGACATTTAAAGGTAATGTTCCCAGAACGCTCAGCATGATGTGATCCTGGGACCCTTGAACATGCTTGAAACAGACTTAGTAGCAGAAAGCACAGAACTCAGAAGAGTGGTGCTGAGGAATGTGAAACTTAGGGATCATAACTTTGGAAAGTACCAAGACGAGGCAGAGTGGGTAGGGAGCACTGGACTGTGGGCAGAGTTGGTTGGTGAGTCAGTCTGTAGAGCCTTCTCCCTGGTCTCCGCCAGGCAAGCATTCCAGAGCTCCCTGGGAGGGGGCACTCTGTGAAAGAGTCCATTAAAATGCAACATACAACCCACTGACCCCCAAACCTTAATGCCCACCCCTACCACTAGCTTTCCATTCCCTCTTGGGTATTTAAGCAAGGAAGGGACTGCCCTTGGCAATGAACAGGAACGTTTTTAATTGACATTCTGATTTATGATCCATCATTTATAAGGTTTAATTAAATTCCTTTTGGTCTGATCATTGCAGTGTGAAGAGTAAAATCTTGTTTCTTGCCCAGCTGCAGACCCTGTCCATCAGGGTCTAACAGCCCATGAGAAACAGCTGGAAACATCCTCCTCCTATCTCCAATCTTGTTCTGTGAGTGACCCTGGCTATGGAATTCAGATGTAGGCGACTTTTCCCTCCATCAAATTCAGTGCTGATCTTGAGAATGACCAACTCATCCTGGTTTTAGCACTGAAAGTTCTGAGTACCAAGTAACCCCTAGTTAGTTTTAAAATTAAAACTAGATAGTTTTAAAATTAAAATTCCCGTATCCCCTCGATCCTGGGGAAACCAGGTAGGTGAGTCCTCCAGCCTGCCTCCCAGCCTTGAAGATTTAGGGATTTCTTGGAGATCAACTTTCGTTATAGTAAAGCTTATTTATTTTTTCAAATAAATATATGAAGAGTTTACTGTGTCCCCAAAACGTTTCCAGAAACTGGGGATATCTGGATGAATAAGTTAAGGTCCTAAATTTAATAAAAAAGCCCATGAGACAGTAACAGAAAAGAGGGTGGTAAACATATCTCAGCGACTGACAGCAGCATAGCTTAATAAATATTTGGTGAATGTTTGAGGAACAAAAGACTGCGGGAGGCCAGGGTGCGAGTCACACAGAGGAGTGACCATTTGACAGGTTCTCAGATTCTGAGGGAAAGCTTCCCAAATGGTGATGTAAGGGAAGGTATCACGGGCAGAGGTCCTGGCTGGGCAGGAGGTGTGAGGTGTGAAGAGAAGGAGTTCACTTCTCTTCGGCAGCTCCACCATTCCTGTCTGTCACTTGGGAAGGGGAAGCTCACACTGGACAACCTTGGCCTCCAGGGCCCACCTGCAGCTATGGGAAGGCCAAAGCAGAAGAATGGAGTCGTGGCCCAACCCAGGAAGGACAGAATCCAGCAGGGCCTTGTAGACAAAGGGAGTGGCTGACGTACTGACATGTAGAGGAAAAAGCACCTGAGGGCAGAGGAAGGACCAAAAACAGGACACAAGGTTCTGAAGAAGCTCAGAGGTATGATTTGGGTGAATGGCAGAAGAGGTGAAGGAGGTGTTCCAAGGCCAGACAGGTTGTGCAGGGCCATTTATGCCATGGAGAGCTGGATTTTATTCTTTTCTTTTTTTTTTTTAAGCTGCTCTCTTTTCTTTTCTTTTTTAATTTGTTTTTTACATCTTTTTTTTTTTTTTAAGATTTATTTATTTATTTATACAAGCACTGGGTACAGTCAGAAGCGCGGGAGGGTGAGAGAATTCACCAGAGCCAGAGCTGGAAGCAGAGCAGGCAGAAGGACCGAAGTACACTGCTGAGGGGAGCAGCGGGCGGCAGGAGAGGTCTGCGCGCCACGTGGGACCCTCCTCCGGTGGCCGGGGAGCAGCCGGGAATCGAACCAGCGCTGCAGAGGCTGCGGGCAGCTTCGCAACCCAGCACTCAACCACTGCACCACCGGGGAGGCCCCTGGATTTTATTCTTTGTGCAAAGGCGAGCCCCTGAAGGCCAACTGGGAGACTCCAGTCACCAGCCTGCCCTTTCTGGACTTTTCTTTCCAAATGACTGCACCACTACCTTAGCTCCTGCTGGCTATTCCCTCCTGGCCTCTAACCCTTTCTGAAAACAACATTTGGCACAATCTGATATAAAACTCTTGTATAAGTCTTGCCACACCTTCCTGAAGCTGGGCCCTAAGGTGCTGTTGCTGGCATGCTGATGGTCTGCTCTTCATGATTTTTTTCTCAGAAACCATGGGCTAGGCTGGCCTGAGCTGCCTTGGCTAGCTCTGCTCAGCAAATGTGCCACCTCCTTCCCTCCCCACGGGCTCACAGATCATTCCCAAAGGGGTATAGACAACCTGGGTCTCCTCCCCACATTTCCCTGTCTGTCTCCAGTCCACCAGATGCATCATTTCACATTATTTTGTTAGTGTCATAATTACATTTTTGTAATGTGATTTCCCTTTCTAATACTCTCAAATACAACTCTGGATATCTTGTAGGCGGCTTAGGCATTCTTGCAATAATTAAGTTCCAACAAATAAAGACATTTCTGAAATGTATCCTCTTTGTTAAGTTAACTCTAAAATACATCAAGGGCCTCCCCGGTGGCGCAGCGGTTGAGCGCTGGGTTGTGAAGCTGCCTGCGGCCTCTGCGGTGCCGGTTCGATCCCCGGCTGCTCCCCGGCCACCGGAGGAGGGTCCCACATGGCGCGCAGACCCCTCCTGCCGCCCACTGCTCCCCTCAGCAGTGTGCTTCGGTCCTTCTGCCTGCTCTGCTCCCCGCTCTGGCTCTGGTGAATTCTCTCACCCTCCCGCGCTTCTGACTGTACCCAATGCTTGTATGTATGTATGTATAAATCAATAAATCAATCAATCAATAAATAAATCTTTAAAAAAAAAAAAAAAAAAAAAAAAAAAAAAAAAAAAATAAAATACATCAAGATTTGCCTTTGTTTGTTCCTAAAAGTCATCAAGACATGTGAAGATGAAACTTAGAAATATACTTTTTCTGTTAAAAATGAAACTAGAGAGGGGGGAAGCTCTAGTTATAGGTTGTATTTTTAATTTTTTTAAATAATGATAGAATCACTGGAAAGCACAAAGAAGTTCAGGGAACACTACTACCACCTTCACCCAGCCCTCCCCAGTGTTAACATCTTGCATAACAACCCCACAATGTCAAAACCAGGAAAATTGACATTGGCACAACCCACAGAGAATGTACATATTCCACCTGTCAGAGAGAACAGCTCCTTTCTTTTCTTTTTTTTTTTTCATTTTTGCATAGAAAAACTGGGTTGTAGGCCAGGAGAACAGGGAATGGGGGTGAGAGGATTCACCGGAGACTGAGTGGGTAGCAGAACAGGTGGATCCACTGAAACACACTAATGAGCTGAAGAGACAGGAGAGGTCTGCTGCGCCATGTGGGTCAGCTCCCTGGCTGGGATCAAACTCAGGCCATAGCAGTGATCGCGCTGAGACTTAATCCCTAGGTCACAGGGAGACCCTCACAATGTAGCTCTTTATAAAAAAAAAAAAAGTATGGTTTACAAACAAATGTTTGTGAAAAGTCTAATTTCTAAAAGCTATACCTTACACCAACTTTTGCTTCCAAACTAGCTCCTGCAAACACAGAAAATATAAAAGAAGTATAAAGGAAATATTAAAATATTTTAATGAATATATTTCTTTTACTAGAAAGTAGAATTAATACATGACATACAACTGGTTTTGAATGTATGTTAGTCCCAAAGCCTGATTGATCCCAAAACTCCCCAAAGCCTACAGCACTTAGACAAATAAGAGAGAAAATCCACTGGGAATATGGGGGATCCAATGTTTCAATTGATCTTGAGGCTACAATTGCTCCTCAGACATCGACCATGATGCTTGACCCCTTGTCCAGAAGATGCTCCTCCCATTTCTGCGCCTGCATGTCGCTTCTCGTCCCTCCAACACTGCTGAGTGTCCGTCAGGTCCTTCAATCTTCCCCTCAGGTCTCTGCCTCTGGGATGTCCTCCTCACCCCCAGCCAACTGCTCATCTGCCAGGTCCTTGCTCATTCTCCAGGTCACTGAAGAGTCACTTCCAACAAAGACTTTGATTTTCCCATTTATGTTCCACCAGCAACCTGGACTTTGCCTGCCCTTAATGCTACCACACTTTATTGTTTTATGTTTTTTCTCCCTTAGGGAAGGGGCTGATTTGTTCATGGATGTGCCTCTAGCGTCTCACACCTGCTAGGTACTCAGAAACATCTCCCAAACTGATGGCAATACCAGGCAGAAAGAATAAATAAAGAAGGCGCCCAAAGAGCCAAGCTCACATACGCAATATGTACTCTGCTCAGAGGTGAGCCTGTCAGGGTTTGACGCATCCTCGACTTACTCTTATTTTATTATTTTTTTTTAATCTTTTTTTTTTTATAGAGGCATGTTTATTTATTTATTTGTTTGCTTGTTTGTTTGTTTATACATGCACTGGGTACAGTCAGAAGCGCGGGAGGGTGAGAGAATTCACCAGAGCCAGAGCAGGGAGCAGAGCAGGCAGAAGGACCAAAGTACACTGCTGAGGGGAGCAGCGGGCAGCAGGAGAGGTCTGCGCACCACGTGGGACCCTCCTCCAGTGGCCGGGGAGCAGCCGGGGATCGAACCAGTGCCACAGAGGCTGCGGGCAGCTTTGCAACCCAGCGCTCAACCACTGCGCCACCGGGGAGGCCCTACTCTTATTTTAAATAAATGTCTGAGCTATTTTGATGTGTGGATCCCTAGACCAACAGAAACTTGAAAGGAAGAAGGAGGGGGTGACTAGGGACTAGAAGCAATTAGGACCAGTGCTTGCATCCTGATAAGGAGAAAAGAGAGGAAAATTATAGAAAGAATAGGGAGCATTTGGCTTGGGGCAAACATACCTCCAAAGGAGTCTGTGGGCAGCACAGCTAAGTACAAAGGCCAGGGTCCAAGATCATGCTTTGAGTCAACGAGCAAAGACTGGGTTCCACTCAATATATTCCATTTAAGAACAGAGACGAGGGGCTTCCGTGGTGGCACAAGGGGTTAAGTATCAGCACTATGAAGCAATCGGAGCTGCTGCAGCACGAGTTCAATCCCCAGGCAGGGAGGTGACCCACATGGCACAGCAGACCTCTCCTGTCTCCCCACTCTGTCTCTGGTGAATCCTCTCACCCCTCACACCTCTGGCCTGTACCCCAGTTCTTGCATGCATAAATGAATAGGTCTTTGAAAAAATAATAAAAGTAATTTTGAAATGTTTTTAAGTGACGGGACCTAAAGAGAGAAGGAAAATTATCTATCTGGAAAATTCATTTCTCTAGATGAAAATTCTTCATTTCTGATAAAAATGTAACAACGGTAATACAATAGTAAAACAAGGAGGGGTTACTGTGTTTCCACTGAAGGAAGCCGGGACCTTCTTCCCTGGGAGAATCCCCTCACCCTGTTCCTGGCCTTGCCCCAGGGCATTGCCATTAATGATTCACTTCTTTGTCTTCCCGTTGCCTGTGCTTGTTTTGTGGACTGGGACAGTGTCTCTCATCTCCATATCTGATAGTGACACAAGCCCGGGCACATTGTAGCTGTTCAGCGAACACTTGTTGAACATAAGAGAGAATGAT